ATAGATAGCAATCCGCGGGAACGTCGACTTCTACCGCTAGACCCTCTATAGTATATACGACGACGTGTTCGATCGATTTATTAAGCTACTAATATACGTCGGAAGAGTCTAGAACCTTAGCGAGCTTATCGATTTCGTCTTTCTAAGATAGGGTATTATTAAGGCTAAGTATAACCTAGTATTCTATCGTTCTCGAGCTATCCTTTATATAACGAACGACACCGCCTACGAGATTAACGAACGTATCGTAGACGACCTGCCGTATAGTACAATTCGCGAATATCGCTACGAGGATAAGATAGAGAAGTTGCCTAGCGATAAAGACTAGCCTCCGGAAATCTTAAGCCTTTTAAAATCTATCTAGAATACCGAGCTCTAGATTCCTTACCTACGGATCCGGGTAGGTATACTAATAATAATTATACGGAACATCTATAAAACCGTAGGACTCGTAAACGGAACGTAGGTTATCGTCGTAAAAACACTCTAGTTCGGGGTTAAAGTTCGGAAACTACTAGACGACGATAATTAGGAAGTATACTAGATACCGCGAATCTAGATATATTCGAATAAAGGCCTACCGTTTACTCTTAAGCGATATTAACTTCCGCTTCGACCTTGTTTCGCAATAACGATAAACAAATCTTAGGGTTAATCCCTAGTATATATCGGCATCGACCTTCGACGGCCTATATTTAGCTACGGCTAACTCTTCGTAGCATTCTTACGCGTTACGGACGTATATAACCTCCGCGTGCTTATTAACGGAAAGTATGCTTTTACGTAGGGTAGCGACTCCCTAAACAAAGTGTTTCGCTCGGCTCTATTATATCTACCTAAGCGTCTCTACGACTTTATTTTTAAGGATAGAAATCTGTTTATAGGTATAACCTCTAACGTCCTATTATACGGAGCGATATACGCTATATCTACTAGCTCTACCGGACTAGCGTAGCAACCGCGACGCCTATAGAGTATACTTAACTACGTACCTCGAGCGTACGTTCCCGAAATCGCTAAACCGCCTACCGGTTCTACTCGAGACGCTATAGAATCCGAAGACGAGCCTAACTAGTATACTCGAAACTTTGCGAGTCTAGACCGCGAAGTAGGTAGCGATAGTAGCCTTCCGCGTAGGGTAGAAAGGGGTCCTAGGGCATTCGTGCTAGGTAACGACGAAGATAGGACGTTAGTCGATACTAGAGTCGGACGATAGCTAAGCTAGCGAGAAACTATGCTAACTATAGCACTAGCGAAAACTTCGCGCCGACCGTTATTTATAGAACTTCCTAGATACTAACTAGACGACTCTTTAGTCTACCTCTAGAACTTAGCCCTAGGTCCTAGTAACGCCTAATAGATAATATAGGTTACGGCTAAAATAATACCTTCGAAGAAGATTATATAGGCAGATCTAACTAAGGCCTCGTCGATACTACCTACGCTAGTACCTATACCGATACCTCGTTCTATATCTACGGCGCGTATAATCTAATAGATTTCTAAGGACACTACGCCTATTCTAGGTCCTTCGTTCTCTAGGAAGCGACTATCCGGACAATCCGTATTACTCTCGAAGCCTATATCCCGCACTTAAGTCTCTACTCCGACCTCGATACTATACGCTCTAACGCTACCTCGTACTCTAAGGCTAGGCGATATTACTAAGGCAAAGGCTCCGGTTGTCGTATATAAATAAGAAGCTAAGATCCTTAGTATACTTTAAGACGCAGATCTCGACTTCGATATAGAAGACTTTTAGGCTGCGATTAGTAGTTATTCTCTATAATATATATATATAAAACTTCTCTATCTATACTAGCATTTTTTTCTCTTTAGGTATAGAGTTTAGCTACCTAAATACGGTTAGCGTATTACTACTTCTCCGAGGCACTAAGAACCTTATTATTTAGCCGCCTATCCCCTATCTATATAAGCTAAGTTCCCGGTAGTTCTCTTAGTTATCCTCCTTTCTCTTCGAGTTCTCTACTATATTCCTAGCGCTAATATAATATCGAGCCTTAATATTATACCTAAAGTAGGAAAGGATTATGCGTAATAGTTCGTATAAGTAGTAGTAGAAGCATATTAAAAAGGTGAAATTTAGGAAACTAGAACTACGGACTACGCGCTAGTAAAGAAAATCGTAAGCAGTAAAGGGCGAGATCTAGTATTTCGAGAGGGCTATATACGTATACTAAGAGAAGGCGTAACGTAGAAGAGTACCGATAAGAGAGCGAGGCAAGTAGCGCTAGTCTATATTCTCGGTATAGACGCTAGAAGTTGCGCTATACTAAACTGTCTCTTTCCTTCGAAATATAGAACTTGCGAATCTAACTATAGTTATTTCGAAGGGTGCCGTTATTCCTATAACCTAGCGCTAAAGCTACTATATAGTAATTGCGCTTATAGAGGAGATCCTAGGAGCTATACTAGCTATATAAACTATAACCGGAAAAGAGTAGTATTACTAGAATTCGAAGATAGCGGGCGGGCTTTAAAATCGAACACTCGACCTCTATCTACGAAGTACGAATAGGAAGAGGGCACCCTAGAATATTAAGAGACTATCTCTACTAAGGATACTAGCTGCTAGTAGGAATACGACTTTATCCCGGAAGTGTCTTAGAAAGCGGAAGAACTTAGGAGAAGTATAAGCGAAGTATAGCTCTAGTAACTCTTCGAGTTTCTAGCGGAATTATTATATTCTAATTCTCCTATGTTTCCGACGTAGTATATTCGAGATATATATTACGAGAGTATTAGCGAGATTGTAAGCGGTTATATATAGAAAACAAATAGTAAGCGAGCTCGTATAGAAGTCGTCGCGGTAGTAGAGCGGACTTAACTAGATTAGGTATATATTTCAAACTAACTATAATACGAATAGTAATAATAGCGGTAACGTACTAAGAAACGCGAGATTAAATATTACTAGCTTCGCCGATCGACATTATAGACCTAGTATATATCTATTATATAGGCAGACGAGATAAAAATAGGAAGAAGAAGATTATAAGTTACTTTATAGATTTCATTTTTTGTAAAGGGCTAACTAACCTCTATAGAGTATATATATCGGTCTACGCCCTATAGCGTAGATAGTATATCTTATCTTATTTCCTCTCGCTTTTTCTAACTTTTAACTTCTTAATTAGTATACTATTCTTAGATTATTACGTTCTTCTAAGTAGCGGCGATATAGATTCTTATAGTAAATCGATTCCTAGGTCCTATCTAGACGAAAGGAGAGCTAGCGCCGAAGTTCTAGGTAAAGTCCGATCCTAGGAGGGTAGCGTACGACTACGCGTTTATAGTAGAGATACCTAGCGACTACTAGTACTTAATAGTCTTAGCGCCCTTTTAAAGGACGATAGTATAGTTAAAAGTAAGGTAGCGTACTACGCTACTAACGAAATATATAAAGACTTCGCCTATAACGAGCTTTAAGGGTTAGTATATCTAGTAATATATATTTATAAACGAGACTTACTAGAGTCGCGACTCTCTTAGAGCTAGTCTTCTTAACTAGAACTCGCTTTATAGAGCGAGAGGGAGACTTATTAGAGAACGTACTAGCGAGATCGATAACTTCCTTATTTTTAAATACTTAAGCGACTAATACTATTAGCGAAGTAGTTATAAAAGTTTAGCGATAATATTAAACTTACCGATAGCGCTCGAGATCTTACTCGGGGTTTCTATAGGGGCTAGTATAGGGGGTAGGTATAGTGTCTAGCTTAGTAAAGATAGAAAGGGAGTAGTAACGAGTCGTAGTAGTAGTAGTAGTAGTAGAAGTAGTAGTAAGTAGAAGAAGTTATTATTAGAAAGGCGCGCGATTTATAAAGCGCGATTTGTAACGATTTCCGCCTTATTGCCTAACGCGGTACGGCTATAGCCGCTGTAGAATCTTCTAGAATCTAGCTTACCCTACCCCGCTCGTCGCCTTAGCCTTTACTTATAGCTCTTCGGCCTTTACTTATAGCACTTCGTCCTTCACTTATAGCTCTTCGAGCTACATAAACACTAGTACCTAATAAAGCAGTCCAGAATGCTTTCTACAGTAATAAACTGTCAATAGCGAGGTTGCAACTTGCAGTGCGTCCTAGGCAGGCGTTGGCAGGCTCTCATTCGCTCGTCATCATCCGGCGCTAGTGCGGAGGCACCGGACGGACCATGATGATAATGAGGTTCTGCTCCCAGAAGTCCAACTCCAGCTGATGAGTTACCTGTATTGCATTGGCACCTGGTTTCAAGACTACTGACTACAGCACTGGGCCACTGTTGCTTGGCTTGCGGTACGAAGCGTAAAACGTATCGCTATGAATCCGAGCCGACATGCTTCTGATTCAGCGAGAGGGAACAGCTTTCGGATGAGCAGCCATGCTGGCACTCGGCCTTTGTGCCTCATCCTGATTGTATGTCCAAAGTGGTCCAAGATCCTGGTATGTTGCGCTCTCAACAGTCTTGCGTGTCGCCTCCACCGATTCACTGCTGAGGAAGTGTATTCTGAGTTTGCGGAGGAAAGCAGTACGCGTTCCAGTGAAGTTTGAGGAGCATTCTGTACCAACGTATCTGCCGACTTCCTGATCAGCGCCTGCTGCATGGAAGACTCGCCCATAACTTGCTGATACGAGCCATGTGTTATAGCACAGCCTCTACTGCAAGGCACGAGGCTGAGACGAGAAGTCGTTCTCTTATACCCACTGGCGCACGTCGTGGTGACTTGGTACTGACATGCCAGACGCCGGTAGAAGCCTCTACCGTACAAATTCAAGCCGAGTAGTCGAGGTGTGTTCCATCAATGCCTTGAATAGGTCGATATGCAGACTCTGTTTTCGGACATTATGGGAGGAGGTAATTGCTAGACAAGTGAGATTATGTCCACTTACAGACAGATATGCGTATCGCTTGTTGCTTGTATTCGGGCGGCCGGTGGCGCATGCTTTGTAGGGCTTCGGATGATACTGCGAATTTGTGTAGGCGACTTTGATGGGTTGATTGAGACCTCCCGCCCAACGTTATCATCAATGCAGTTCCTCATCTGCAGATTGAGTCGTTCGCTTGCATGCGCAATGCATAAGAGCGGAGAAGACAGGGCGCAGGCACTGTGGAGCCCCAGAAAGGAGTTCTCACGACAGGCACGAGCATCATAGCATCATGCAAGCGGGTGAATGCTCGTTGATTGTATCACAAGATCCCAGAAGCCGAGATAACAGTGACCGACAGACTGGTCGGTCTCCCACGCTGTCTCGGCATGCTTCAATGGTATACTCGGCAGTGTCGACCTGGTTCCTGGTTGCGAGGTGATAAGGTGGAAGCGGAAGGCCGAGAGGGTGTGTGGCAGCTCCCAGCTCTGGAGTACTTGGAGCAATGCATCTCTGCAGACACGTGAAAGCGAGGTGATAGTGCGCCGAAGGTCAAGCCGGAGAGCGGGTCTGATATGGCATGCATGTGTCAAAGTGGCCCCAAGACGTGGCTTGGCAGCTTTCACATGCAGACAGTTGAGAAAGGCAGCCCTGAAGCAGGCCATCGGTACCACCTCGCCACTTCCCCGAGCCCCAGTAAGCCGACCATGGCAATGGCATGGCATGGGCCAGCGGTTCCAACTGAATGAGCAGTGGGCAGCAAAGCAACGAGCTTGCCGACTCCGTATCTCAGGTGTCTCTACCTTGCTGCATGCCGACAAGGGCCAATCAGAGGGCGGCGGAGAGCAGCATGCTATCGTTGCGTCGGCGGATCGAGATGGAAATCAGGATGTTGTGCGCGGGCAAGCTTTCTGATGATGAGGTCGCCCACTCACGCGGCTCTGGCTCTGGCTCTGGCTCTGGCTCTGGCTCTGGCAGCGGCGGGCCACCTGAGAACGGATAAGTAGGGATGGGTTCATAGGTGGGCTTTCGCGCGGCCGATGAGCCGGACCGACCGCACGACGCTGATTGGAAAAGGAGACTGGCTGGTTGAGTGCGTCACTTTCACATGCCATGCACCTCTTCTGCTGCTGCTGTCCAGCACGGCGACGTATGGATGCTTCGCTTCCGCCATGTCTGCCTAGGTGCAGAGTAAGTCATATCGGCCGCGCGCTCAACAAAACTCCCATCTCTTCCCCCTTCTCTGCATCGTCCCGAGTCCACCCTCAGCATCATCTTCCAGATCCGCCACACAAGCTATCGACACCACACCCAGCTTGTAAGTCCCGCCGTTTGTCCATAGGCGTCTCGATCGTGGAGTGACAGGCTGACGATTGGCGCGTGGAAGGACCACCGGGCGAGAGTAGTGCTTTCCACGCACGTAGGTGTTCGCCTTCCCAAATACTGCACCGCTACGAGAGAGGCTTGCAGCAAGCAGCACCCTGTCGCTGCCCTCAGCACACGAATCAGAGTCGTCTTATCTCTCACGCATCGAATCGCCGCCAACTGCCATCTCACCACCCATTGTCGTTGATCAGACCAGCAAACGAACGTCGCCTGACCTGCTTCATCACAGACGTAACCGAGCAAAATGCCTCACTCAACCACCGAGACCCTCACCAACGGCGACAAGAGCTCGTCCAAGTTCATCTCACATCTCGCCTCTTACCCAGCCGTGCACGATGGCATTGAGACCTACAAGGCCAATCCTTACGGCAAGAAGAGCTTGGAAGTGGCCGACGGCGCCTACATCCGCTTTGCTAAGCCCGTAGAGCCATACCTGCAGAAGCCATACTCTTATGCCCAGCCATACGTCCAGAAGGCCGATGAGCTCGCCGATGCTAGTCTCACCAAGGTCGAAGGCCACTTCCCAATCGTGAAGCAGGACACCACGACCATCGTCGACACTGCCAAGGGCTACGTTTTCTGGCCATACAGTTACCTGACCGGCACCTTCAATGGTAAGTCTTTTCGTGGCACAAACTCTTGAAACCGTACTGATAGCAATCTCAGATGAATACGAGAAGACTGCCAAGCACAACAACCGCGGTCAGGGTGTTGGAACCTTGGTCCAAGCAACCATCTCAACCCAACTGAGAATCGCCTCGGACTTCTTCCAAGCCGTCGCCGACTTCCTTGGACCAAAGTACGAAGAGGGCAAGAAGAAGGGCTCTGAATATGTCCGCGATGCCAAGGACAACGCAGGCCATTACAAGCAGATCGGCCAGGATAAGCTTAACGAGTACACCAAGCTCGGTCAGCAAAAGGTCGACGAGGCACAGAAGGTCGGGCAACAAAAGGCCGATGAGGCCAAAGACCAAGCCAAGCACACCAAGGAGGAGGCGAAGCAGAAGGCACAGAAGTAGAGCTCCACCTCCTCCTCACCTCTGAAGAAGGGCTGTAGCCCGAACTAACCCAACATCCACATATCTTTGCTATCTTTCTGGCTCGATGGCTGACGGTCTTGACGAGAAAGGTACCGCGTGACGCTTCGGAAAAGAAGGTCGAAGCAAAAGCAGGATGACATCTCTTCTACCGGGCAAGGTTCAGATGAGCAGCACAATTTCGAGGATAAATGGTGGTGAGGCAGTGTCCATATTCTCCTTCTCAACGGCTGATGTGTGACGAGCGATGCTGATATTACCTTCCTTCACCCTGTTTGTGTGGTATTGGTGTATGATTGGCGAGCGTTACGGGCAAATACCACTACATGTATGTGCAGCTGATGCTGCGAGATAGACTTCGATATGGGTAGGCAAGACTCTTGATGTTGGCGGACTTGTCTTGATACATCATCATCTTTCTGTGTCGTTCTCAGTGATGTCTCCAAACAGTCTTGATACATCATCATCCTCCAACATTACTTTTCACCATCCACTTCGACGGCTGTTCCGGGTACGAGGTTTGTAGATATTTGTTCGAATCGTGCTTTTGCTTGTGTGGAGCAGAGTTTGGATGGGGTTGATGGATGTGAGGAATATGGAGGATGGTGATGGTGAGATGAGTGATGGGTTCTTGATAGATTTGTTTTTGATGTTGTCGAAATTGATAGTAGCAGTACTGCTTGGTCACCAATTCTCTCTGAATATCAAGGCTTGCTTGTGTTTGCGTCTGGACCTTGAAGCGTTTGAAAGATCGTGCAGCAGCGGAGGCCTTTTGATTCTAAATCTAACAAGTGTGGTGGTATATGCAACGCTCCAGAAAACCCATGACTACTCTACTCCTGCTATTGAAGTTCCAAACGTTGCATCTATGCATTGGGCCTCACCGGGATGCCGTTGCTCTGCTTCTTGAACGCCTGGGCACCATCTACCAACCGTCTCTCGGTGTTCTGTCGTGTGTTGACAAAGTCTGGGTAGTTGAGTGTAAGCTCCACAGCGCCGTTGATGATATTGTCGACGGCCTCAACACCAAGCATAAAACTGTGGTCTTGGTTGCCGACCTCGTATCTCCAGGAGCCGAAGCGGCCACGAGACCAGATGCCTTGCTCCTTGAGCTTAGGCAGGAGCTGAGTGAGAACGCCCTCACGCTCGAGCGAAGGAGTTGGGTAACCGTGGTCGAATCTGCGGTGGTAGGTAGAAACGATCTCGTCGGTTGGCTTGAGCTGCTCGGTGTTGATCAAACCCTGAATGCAGTCTGCGAGCAGGGTCTTCTGGTCGACGGGCTTCATGCTGGACTCGGAAACCTCAAGCATAATGCTCCAGTATGGTCCTTCCTTGGCAGATGTGTCCGTTGGCTTGCTCCCATCGGCAAGCTGTTGTGTGGCGAGCTTCACGGATGCCTTCGGCTGGTTGTTGGGGGAGTAGTTGGAGAAGATGGTAGAGCGGTAGAATGGGCAGTTGTCCTCGGGGAAGTAGAGCCAGCACTTGTCGCCGATACGCTCTGGCCGCTCACCACGGATACCAACCCCAATGACGTGGGTAGTAGAGTAGAACAGACCCTTGCTCAGGTCTTGAAGCTCCTCGTCCTTCATGGCCTCAACGAGATAGTCGACAGACATGGTGGAGACGAGTTTGGCGTAGTTCACGGTGGTACCGTCGCCAAGAAGAACTCTCTTGTTCTCAGCATCCACAAGCTGAACCTCACCGTGCTTGCCAAAGCGAGTCTTGTCCTTCTGAAGGGTCTCAGCGACCTTGATCCAGATGTTACCAGTTCCGCCCTCTGCCGGGAAGCGGAAAGTGGCGTTTGGACCCCAGTTGCCTGCGGTCTTGTTCAAGATGATGTTCTTGGTGATCAGCTTGAGGTTTGGTGTAGCGACACGCTCGCCGAGCCATGCGGCTTGCATCTATCCAATGATCAGCTATCCGCACATTCTCTTCTAGATGCCTGGCTCTTACCTTTGTGGTGGGCACAGCCCACACCTTGTAGTTGTATGGCCTCATAAAGATGTCTGCGATGCCGCTGCCCATGGTCCTCATGATGTGCTCATCGAAGTCCTTTGGCTTGTCGCGCACTTGTGTTGCAGCCAAAGAGGCGTCGATCAGACCATCCATTGCCTTGACCTGATCCTCCTTTGGCAGCATAGAAATGTTGTTCTGGAATGGGTATGGCACCCACAGACCCTTGTAGCGGACGTAGGAGATACGCTGGTGGTGGTACCAGTCTGATTCGTTGGGGAGAGCCTCGTCGATGACATCGTCGAAGTACTTGTAGTGCGAGAAGATAACGTGGCCGCCGACATCGTAGAGCTAGAGGGACAGGTCAGTGCTGCTGGGCACTTGCAGGCGTACTCGAGTACTACTCACGAAACCCTCAGGAGTAACGTCTGTAGAAGCGAGACCGCCTGGAACGTCGTTGCGGTCGACAATCATCCATGATGGGCCGTCCTGAATAGGCTGTTAGTAATTCTGGCACGGCTCCTCTTGGTGAATATGCCATCTCTACACACGATCTGCTGGAGGCGCTTTGCAGCACCCAAACCAGTTGGGCCAGCGCCAATGACAAGTACATCGACATGGCTGCGAGAAATTGTTAGCACACGTATGGTTTCAGGAGGGCGCAATGGCCTCACATTTCCTTGCCATTCGCCTTGGAGATTTGACGCTTGTGAGACATATTGAACAGATACGATCAGGCTGTACAATTGGAGGTCTACACAAAGATCAGAGCGTGTGATGAGAAGGCAGAGTCGTATCTTCTATACCGCGACGGCACGCCAATTGTTGCGCACCACAGCTCGCACAGACAAGACCCTTGTTCGCTTCAGACGCACGCTTAGCGAAAGAGGAATAGCGTTGGAAGGAGGGGAAGCTGATACACTGGACGCGACGCGATTCGCAACTCAACAACTCTTCGTCATTGCTTTCCGCAGGGGCGTCATTGTTGTGGCAGTGGCAGCCATCACCGACGCATCATCGTCGGGCGACCCATTATTGAACAGCTCAAATGGCCGGGCGAGTCGCTGTACAATGCCAGGCTGGGAAGAGACAGAGAGAAGTGAATTCAGAATTCAGCCTCAGGGGCGGCGGCCGTGGCGGCGTCACTCTTTGGTGATAGCACGTGGCCGCAATCGCTTGTGGCTGGCGACGGCGATGCGACGCGGGACACAGCATGATGTATTTGTGAAGAACGACATGATCAAAATCCTAACAAATCACAGTGGCGATGGTGAGACGAACTCAGACCAAGGCTGATGGTACTGCTTGCTTGCGTAATACTCGTGTATTGGAGCTTTTTTTTTTTGGAGGGTTCAAGGTTGAGAGAGTTTAAGCCTCAACTTCTCCAAAGCCAGAAGGCAAGCAGCACGCGTCTGCAAGGGGGCCTAGTTCTAGTGCTTGAAAGTGTCCAGCTTTCTCTTTTGCACAGAGGCAGAGACAACTCCTCTCTCACTGCTGATTACATCCTTCTCTCCTTCCTCGCCCTTGCGCTTGCGCTTGCGCTTTCGCCTCCAGCTTGCCAGCTTCTTGCGACTTTCGAGCCGCCGAGGCATATCCATCTCCGCCATCTAGACGATCACGATCGATTCGCGCCTGCCCTGCAAGCAAGAATACCACATCGCAATGAGTGAGAAGGAGAGACAGTCGGGCGACGGCGAGGTGGAAAGGCCAGCAGAGCCCGTTCTGCCGACCGTGAATCCAGCAGCCGAAAGGTCGGAACCACCAAAGACCGGCCTACACCCAGCAGTCTACATCGCCACTTGGATCTCGCTCTCTTCCAGCGTAATCATCTTCAACAAGTGGATTCTTGATACCGCCAAATTCCACTACCCAATCGTTCTCACAACATGGCATCTGGCCTTTGCCACGCTGATGACCCAGATCCTGGCCCGATTCACGCACGTCTTGGACTCGCGCAAGAAGGTGCCAATGACGGGGAGGATATACCTACGAGCCATTGTGCCAATTGGCCTCATGTTCTCGCTATCGCTGATCTGCGGTAACTTGACCTACCTCTATCTCTCCGTCTCGTTCATTCAAATGCTCAAGGTATGCAAACGATCGGGATGAGGGAAGCAGCAAGGCATACTAATGAATGCGCAAAGGCCACCACTCCAGTCGCAGTCCTGATCGCATCATGGATCTTTGGAGTCGCTCCTCCATCATTGAAGACATTAGGCAATGTCTCCTTCATTGTCTTCGGTGTGATCATTGCCTCCTACGGCGAGATCCAATTCAACATGACTGGGTTCCTCTACCAACTCGGAGGCATCGTCTTCGAAGCCACACGTCTTGTCATGGTCCAGCGCCTGCTCTCCAGCGCCGAGTTCAAGATGGACCCGCTAGTCTCTCTCTACTACTTTGCGCCAGCCTGCGCACTCATGAACGCTCTGGTCGCATTGCTATTCGAAGTCCCAAACATGACACTGGCCGACGTTGAGAATGTGGGCTACTTCATTCTCCTCGCGAACGCCATGATTGCATTCCTGCTCAATGTCTCGGTCGTGTTCCTGGTATGACGAAATCAATCCCCTACCCTGCCTGCACTCCCCACATTTCCGAAATACTGACGAAAGATACAGATCGGCAAGACTTCGTCACTCGTCATGACCCTCTCCGGTGTCCTCAAGGACATTCTCCTCGTCGGCGCCTCGATGCTCATTTTCCGCGACCCAGTCTCCGGACTTCAGGCATTCGGCTATTCCATTGCTCTTGGCGGTCTCGTGTACTACAAGCTCGGTTCTGATAAGCTGAAGGAGCACATGGGTCAGGCACAGAGAGCTTGGGCAGAGTACGGAGTCCGACACCCTGCACTTCGAAAAGTGCTCGTCTTCGGCCTTGTCCTCGTAACCTTCTTCCTCCTGCTTGGCGGCATCTCGTCGAGCGGATACGTGCCGGAACAATACAGCGCAAGCAGTCTCGGAAAGGCAGCTTCAGACAGATTTGCGCAAGGTTGGAGTGGCAAGACCAACGGCTCATGAAAGAGGCGAAGCTGAGCATGCAAGAGGATTGCAAGAGCACTGCAACAGGATTCTGTTATAATGGCTTGGAGAAGCACTTCAGAAAGAGTAAGCAGCTAGCAGATAAATGCAAACAGTCATAATCTAGAGAAGAGAAGCTTCAGCAGACGGCCTCCTCAGCTGTGTCTAGCTTGCCTTTCCGGCAGCCACATCAGCTTCACTTGCCTTCAGCATGGAAGATGTGTTATCTCATGTACTAGATTCCTGCAACATGCCATGGCTTGGAAGAGCTGTTGGACATCGCAGCTTGAATCAGAGGACTAATGTAACAGCAAGTCAGTTGAACGCATCCATCAAGAGCCTCCAATTCCAGCCCCAACTGAATCCGCTTTGCGGAGTATCCCTTAACATTCATCCAATGCATTTATACATGATTGAACAAGCAGAGTGAGTGAGTGAATGAGCATCACACTTCCCATCCATCCATCGAGTAGACCACTTGACGGAACCCAAAAATCTCCCACGGCATCAAGCAGATCACGATCACGATCACAATCCAAAAAAAAAAAATTCAATTCAATTCATCGATGCTATTAGTTAGTGAATTCCCACGTCTGTTCTTCACTCACTCACTCACTCACTCACTCACTCACTCACTCACTCACTCACTCACTCACCCATTGGTCGACCACCCAATCCACCATCCATCCATCCATCCATCCATATGCCGTCCCGACCGATTGTAAGTACTGTACGTTGCATCCCATCCCATCCATCTTCGGAAAATAACATCCCGTTGTCATGGAGCACAGCTCTGTGGCGTAAGTGGGTGGCGTTGTTGTTGTTGTTGTTGTTGTGACACGTCAGAAAAATCCCACTTCCACGGTACGCATTCAAGCCAGGTGAAACCGGGTTATCGTCAATCAAAATTTTCGCCTGCATATGCATCGTGCAACATGGCATGGACATGTTGTGGAGATGGGATCCACTTTGGTTGCTTGCATGTTGTGCTCCCTTGCCTCTTCCTGCTGTGCAATCTTTGAATTCGGATAGATGAGTGTAGCGGGGGGCCTCCACTATAGTGATGAAGGTGGGGGCAGGACGACAGCATACTGAAGTGAAGCAAGGGGAGAAAGAAGAGAGAGGAGGATGAGAGTTGTTTGGAAGTGCTTTCATCGATTCGATTTCGAGTTCAACATTAAAGGCAGACTTTCGCTACCATTTCGCTCACTCACACACTACAGTGGCAGGTGGTCGTAGTAGTACAGATCGAATTGCATTCTCCAACTTTTTGAAAACTCCTGCATGTTTGCTGGTTCCCCGCCCACAAGCAGTCTTCCAAATGTGAGTACTGTTATTCCGCTGTCCCAATTGCGCACAAGCCGGTTTCCACCTAGTATGTACATTGTACATCCTGGTAAAGTTTGGATTGAAAGCGTGTATTCTTCCTCCAAGCTATCCTGTACAAGAAGCAGCTGTTGCGATCGTTGGCAGTAATACAAGTCAGGCTAGTAGTGGTGTAGTGATCACATCAAGCTCTGATGAATGGCGGTGAAATGGTGATGTCAATGCCTCATCGTGGGGAGACAGATGTCAGTGCGTATTCCGGTTCCTGTGAGTGACGGATGTCCGGGGGATGTTGTGGTAAAAGGGATCAATCATGGTGATCGTTGCTGAGTGATAGCCTTGATGTCGAGATCAGGCCAGAAAGTATACGATACTGGGTATCGCTGTGTAGTACAGTGCAGTCGGTGGAGTCGGGGTGTATGATTCGTACCAAAGGACATGAGTAGAAGAAAAAACGGACAGGCTGCATTCGATGAGAAAAGCCCCGCATATGTTGGTCGCCGCCAACGCCTCGCCAGGAATGAAATCGCCATAGAGATGGCTCGCTTGAACGCCGGATGATGCTTCGAGACCAGCATGTCGAAGTATGAAAGAGCCGCTTCCATGAACGCCACGCCAATGCAATGCAAGAAGAAGAGCAAAAGCGTAATCATACTTCAGTACGAAGCCATGCGACGCTGATAAGACATGCCGATGCCCTCTGCGATTTGAGGCCCGACCGAGAAGGATGAGTGACTTCTAGGACCCAGCCCGCGGCCGAGCGCAGTCGGAGAGTCTTCCATGTCATCGCGGTTCTGGTTCTGGCCAAAGGCGAAGGTCTGGTTCCTGAACAGCTTATTTCGCTGCTGCTTGACCTTGGCCATGCCTCGCTCACAAGCCTGCTCGTGCCGTTGATCATTCATCTCGACGTAGTTTTGCGGGAAGCATTTCGTCGGGTGCTCAGCAAAGAACTTGCTGTATCCACCATCGAGAATGTACATCTCCGGATATGTGAGTTGTGGATAGTTGGCGGCGTTGACGTTACGATCGTGACTGCGAACGAATTTCGCGGTGAGAGGAGCACGGTGTACTGAATACTCGCAGTGGAAGATCAGCAATGTGTTCTCGGTAGACATCTTGTCGCCAAAGAGCTCGGTCGTTAGTAGATGCTTGTCGTTGTAATTCACTGCGGAGTCGATGTGGCCTCCACTGTATTCATACTCGAATCTGCAGTCGATGATCATTATATGCGCGTACTTGCCGGTGTGTTTCTGGGCGAGAATGTCGATCATGGTGTCCTGGGTGATTCGTGGTAAGCTGTCGGGCTCGCTTTCAGGGATGAAGTATGGCAGTTTCAGAACATGCTCGGCAGGCTGCTCTACATCCATCACCGAGTCGAGGGAAGGCTGTGGCTCGAACGACTCCTGCTCCTCCTTCATCACATCATCGGGATGCTGGAACATGCTCAAAGATCTCCGAATCAACTTTCGCTGTGGCCGCACGAAGGCAGGCCGTCCGGCTGAAGGCTTGCGAACGTGATTGCTCGACGGCGAGCCATTGTTACGGTTCGCGGTACTGAGTGACGTTCTCCGCGTTGGTGGCAGCATTGAGCCCAAGCCGGACGGCCGCCAGTCATCGACCGGTGACTCTGTAAAGCTCCCTAGCAGGCTTGGCGTAGATGAACACGACAAGCCACTGGTAGCGACATGTCCAAACCGGAACGGAGGTAATTCAGTCTCAGCACTGGTCGGACGCTGTGGAATGTAACCAGCCGAGTAACCTTTTGTTCGGCTGAGTGACGGTCGTGTGACAGGTCTCCTACGTCTGCCGCGACACGTGAGCGACGATCTCAATGCCTCTGTCATCATTCATAACAAGCACTTACTCTGGTAGCTCTAGGAAAGCCGGCGATGGTACCGGGCGAGAGATGACGTCCGCCACCAGAAAGTCCGGCGAGATGTCGACTTCGCTTGGTGTGTCGTCGGTGGAGGGAGAAGGAAGAGTGACTTGGTGCAGAAAGTGTGGGACCTTGTGTGGCAGGGGCGAGATGTCCATTGGCTCGTGGTAAGGCGAGGACGAGGGAATGATGTCTGGCGTCGTAGCAGGCTCGACTTCGACAGGCGGAGTAACTGTGCGTGCTTGCCACGGTCAGCCGCATACTTCCATTTGCAACGGGGTTGGAGTTTTCATTCTTGCACTGACCAGCATTTTCGCGAGGCTTGAACAAATCGGTGGTGAACAAGGATCGACGTGGTGTCGGTGCTTGAGGGCTGGAGGATATTGTCAGTAGGGAAGAGCAATGCTCAGCGCACAAGCGAGGAATGTGGGTATACCTCTTGTCGATATGGAAGTTGGCATCCAGATCGGCCGTCAGGCTCGCGGTGGGAGATGAGCCGCGCACAGGTCGCAGCGTAAAGTAGTCTTGGCGCTTGGGCTTCTCGCGATGCATTGACATGGTGTTGAAGTCGAAGCTTGAGGGGCCAAACGTTTGGCATCCGTGGTACACACCACCGGGCAAGTCCTTCCGGGTGGGGCCCCATGTCGGCACTGCTTGAGGCCGCATTGCAGCCAGCGGTGAAGAGTATTCCATGCTGTGTATTCTGGTCGGTGGCTGCGGATGTCCAATGCTGCTGGGAAGTGAGGGAAATAGGTCGCGTGGGCGTCTGCAGGTGGGAATGTCGGCGGATATGGAATGCGGAGGAGGGATGTGGCGTCCAATGTCGAATGCACTTGGAGTCGTGGTAAGATGTCGTCTGTATTCGGAATGAGCGGCGGTGCCAAGGAGAGAATGGAGCGGATCGAAGGAGCGAGAGTGGTGGTGGAGTGAGTGGTGTTCGTGGTGGTTGGTATGCCTCGCCTCGCCTCGCTCAGAGCCTCTGCATCGTCGGCACCACCGTTCGACGTCAAACGAATGCGGCTGAGGGTGAGGCTCGCGTGCGGGCGTCGAGGATGTGCAGGAAGAGCGAACTTCTGCAAACCTCTGTCCCGATGCTGTCGTTGCCGCCTCCGAAGCTGCCTGTGCCTGTGCCTGTGCCTGCCGCTGGTCGTGGGGAGAGGAAGCAGCAGATACAAGAGGGTGCAGGTGGTGGCAGACAGGTCACGGCGGGCGACAGGTTGGTGAAGTAGGACGGTTCACGGTTGTTGCTTGGTGGACAAGGTTGCTCAGCGAAACCGCACTGACCAAAGCCTACTCCACTCCTCGCTGCGTTCGCGGGCGGGCGCCGCATGCGACATACCCCACCCAGAGGCATGGCATGTTAACTTATAATGCTGAGCACTGCGATCGTGGGCGAAGCTAACTTAAGCTAGCCGTGTGGTGACAGCATCATCATATGGACATGCAGCGCTTGCAGCACCAAATCAGAGCACGCGCTGTTGATAACTTATGTGCACGAGATGTTGCTACAGGCATGATCGCGGGCCTCATCAAGCTGCTGCGCTGCATCGCCCGATATGCTCCATCCTTAGAATAACCGGTTTGCGAGGCTCGGTGCATTATTATTATCATTGGCAACGTGGGACCATTCCTCCATTCCTCGCTTGGCCGCAACAGTACTACTTGAGCACTACTGGGCCAACCTGGCAGCTGCAAGGAACTGTGCAACGATTGCTACATGCCGGCCGTCCAACACCGATACACAATGCATTGTTGCCATCCTCCAATCTCTTGTCTCTTAACGTTAGCCGCCAGCAGCCGCACAAGGCTCCGAGGCGGCATCCACAATAATGACGATACGTCTCAACGCTCACAGCAGATGGCATGTGCGATACTTTCGCCTGATCCGAGTTCGCCATGTGGAAGTGCTCGTTTCGATCGGCAAGCAGGCGATCACGCCGAACACCTCGATTCACAGGACCTCATCTTCGATTTCATCGATATCCCTTTTCTGATCATCCTGATTCGCGTATCATGCCATGCCATGCCATGACATGCCGCTCCTCCACTGGCTTTGTTTATGCGAACTGGTGCTGAGCACTACTGCTCCCTGGCAGCGTCAACTGTTGAACATCTGATTGCACCAGCCACATGTACGGGACGCTGCTCTTGCTTGCGCTGGTGCTCTACGCCTACGATTCGTGGGCGGAGGCGTGCTTCCAAGAAGGGAATTTCCACAACGCCTGGCCTCACGCGTCCTATTTCGCGATAGTCTGACACGCCGTCACCCTTTCTGATAGGGGTGCTGTTAATAACACCTTGTCAGTCAATAGCAACGTTAGTATTATACTGACAGTTAGCAACATGTTAATAATAATATCTATGCCTAAGGCCTCTATATAGACCTTATCTTATACTAGCTAGGAGTAAGTAAATACCTTAGATACTAGTATAGTGTGTTTCCTACGCCTTCGGAGGCCTATTCCTTTGTAGATCTACCTCTTAAGATTAGAAGGAGCTTAATTGCGTATAATTTAGCGTAGAAGGTGCTTCCGTAGGTCTTCCGAGAGGTTGTTACTAGGGATACTAAATCGCTTAGGGTAGCCTAGCAACGAGCAATCGTAGAGTTACGATTAGAGGTATTGCTACTAATATAGTCTAATCCACCTACAAACCGAATAGTTCGATAGCTATTATCGAGAGAGAATTAATATCGTTTTTTCTACCTATTTTACCTATTAGATCCTCCGTTTTTTACATTTCTAGCAATTCTACGAATCTTAGAATTCCGACTTTTTAAGATGCCTCTAGTAAAGTACCTAGATAACCTTAACTTCTCCTCTATTAAGACCGACTTTATAGGCAAATTTGTGCGCTATATCTAGTACGATAGTAGGAAAGGAACGGTACCGGAGGGAAGCCTATCGCGTAAGTAGAAGTACCTAAAGAAGTATTAGTAGTATCTAGACTATAAGAGGTCTTACTAATCTAATAATAAAGCCGAGGGCTTACTGCCGCGCAAACAGCAACGTATACTTCTATTCGGTATCGCTAAGACTAAGCAAGTACGCGACCTAGCTATTACGAAGGCTATTTTATATAGTAGGAGGCTATTTAATAAAGTAGACGCGAGATTCTACCCCGAATAGCGCGAGGCCTTCTATACCTTCGACGCTAATTATAACCCTCCGAGTCGCGATAAGGTAGTAGATTGTATCGATAAGATACGAGCGGAAGTCGAGAAGGACGTATAGGCGGTATTTAATACGCTTCGAGACCTTAACTTTAGCGCCGACGAGAGTAAGAGTCGCGGTAGTACTCGCTTCTATAATCTGTTAGCTAATATAGTATCTAGCTCGTTCTTCTGTAACCTACTAGATATAAAGGACTCTAACGCTAACGCTATAACCCTCGCGAGGCAGATAACTAAGTAGGTAGCGCCCTTCGTTAATAGCGACCTTAAGCGCTAGAATTCCCTTTAAACTGATACCTGCGCGACAATAAGAGCACTCTACGACTAACTCGCCGACAATCTACTTACTAAGTATATAATCTATGTATTCTGCGACTCGTACGGTATATAGCTATATATTAGCGACTAGGGTAACAATTAGAAGGACTCGCACCTACCGTTCTATAGCGATACGCTCCGCGAAGCGGTATACGTACTTGTTTTATTTAAGAGGTCGAAGAAGGCTTAGAATATTCTTAAGGCTTTTACTAAGGACAATAAGGCTATATTAAGGGCATTTGCTATCGCCTGTCTTACTCGCTAGGGTTTACACTATACTATAATACATAGCCTGTTCGTAGCAATAACCTACCTTTAAGACTACGCGAGGATTATAGCTTAACGGCTATTTAGAGGCTCGAATAGTCGCCTAGCAAAGGGAGCTTCTGCTACCCTTAAGACTATTAACTCGCCTCTGTTCTAGAGCCGCCTATAGAGCCTTTATATACTCCTTTAGCTTATTAACGAAGCACGGCTAGTTAGTAAGAGCGACACCTCGAAGGTTAGTAATATCGTACCTCGCTAGTAGCAGCTACGTCGTTTAATATAGTAGGCGCGCCTATCTTACGAGAAGGACCTACTATCGCTCTTCGACCTCCGGTTTACTAAGTAGACTTAACCTGTCTACTAGGTAGTATACTCGCTATCTATTAATAAACTAGCAGTTTCTCGAGACTTTAGCGACCGCGAAGAAGAGTGCCGCTCTGCCTTCTTTAAGGGCTATTTTAGCTACGAAGAGAGCGATCCTTCTATATACGAGCGCTATCTCTAATTTAACGACGAATTTATCGAGTTTCGAGACTCTACGCAACGCTTCTTTACTATTAGTAATAACGAGCTTAGTCGGCATCGTAAGCGCGGCAATATTACTACTTATTAGGACTTCCTCGCTCGCAAAGCACCTCTTATTATAGAGATTGCCCTCCGCCTATATAGAACACCTGCTAATTTAGTGCCTTCTAAGCGAGCCTTTAGCGCTATAAACTTTATATAGAACGACTATCGCTCGAAGCTATCCGCTACTCGTACTAACGACTATACCTATATCTATATAAACAGCCGCGCCTTACGTAGAAGACCTATAGAAGAGGTAATAAGAAGGCAACGATAAGCTAAATTGCGAGAGATATAGTAGCGATAGCTAGTAACTAAGAAGGAGATTAGGAAGGCGGAATTAGACGCATTGCTAGCCTTCGAAGAAGCTATAATAAACGACTATTGCCTGCTACCGAGTAACCCTCGCTATCTCTATATACCTAACCTTAAATAGCTATTCAATCTATACGGTCTAGCCGCTTTCTAAGAAGAAGACAACGACTTCGAAGATAAGCTAGTTAATTATAAAGCGCTCTTTAAGGCGCTTCTAATACCGACTAGAAGTTAACTATTGTAGTACTTACTATTCTTTAAGCCTATTAATAGCTAGGCCTCTAGTAAGCACGACCCTCTAGTTAATTACTTACTGTTTAGCTAGTCGCTCTTATAAGACAATAATAGCTAGCAATATCTAGAGACCTATAGTAACTATGCTAGCGTAGAAGCGCTTAGATAAGCGCTCTAGCGGCCGAGCGATTAAGCTTAAGAAGTGGTCTATTCTATAGTAAGAAGTGGTCTATATAGTGTCTTATTCTATAGCAAGAAGTGTCTCGTTCTATAGTAAGAAGTAGTCTATATAGTGTCTCGTTCTATAGTCTATATTGCTAGTCGCATATATATAACCTTCTACCTCTGGTTAGCGGCCTTCAGCCCTAGGTTATTAACCACTCAGTCGACCATATCAACGTTATTAATGGTGTTGGCAACGTTGCTAACGTTAGTCGTGATTAACAACCTGGCACCCCTACTTTCTGACGCTCAAGGCCTTGCCGCCCTTGCGCCCATCACACAAAGAGCAGGAGGAAGGTCAGGGCTTCCTTGCTTGCGCGCACGGCATGTCCGCAGGGAAGCGAAGAAGGCCTGGAAGACGCGTTGTTTGCTCCCGAAGTCCTCACGCGCCGCTTGCCATCCATCACGGCCTCACGTGCAGAAAATTCACGGCGCCACAGCCTGGACGTTGACCGGTGATTGGAGTTGCATGCGCGTCTTTGCGGGTATCCAGGTGGAAGGGTCTCCTTGCACGGCAACAGCTTCTTAATATACCACAATCATGCTTGGCTGAGCACACCAACGAGCACTAGAAAACAGCTTCATCTGTGGTATGTTTCCGCAAGGAAGCACTGTGATATAACACCGCTGATCTGCATGTTGCGAAACATCCGGCTCGTCTGACCGAACACCACTGGGTCTCATGCATGTTGTGCTCACTGCAGTACCGTACAGCACCAAACAACAGCTCGCTTATCGCGACAGCGCAGTTATAGGACGTCAACTGCGAGTCAGTGTTATTATTACTCTTCTTATGCTCATGTCACATGATCCCTTCGTTATGACAAGAATAGCTGTTGCAACTACCGTAAGCTCCTGCCTGCATCATGCGACATCGGCTTGCAAAATTCTATCGGCCGGCTTTTGCTCTAGAAGTCGACACAGCTCATCTGTACCAGAAAACTGAAGGAGCAACACGACATGACCTACAAGACATCACGGCGCTGGCTTCGATCAAAGCACCATGGAGCATCAAATACCTTGACCGCCTCGAACTCGTTGCCTCGTCACTGCGACTTTCCAGCATTTGCACGCCCGAGCGGCACTTCAATCTAGAGCTCCGGTCCACTCGGCTCAATGGCAACGATGCATATCAGATGCCGTGAGCAGAATCTGGTACAATTCCTGTCGGCAATGATGTGACAGTGGCTCCCATCGAACACGGGCCGTTCACGGCTTCTATTGCTCCCATCGTACAGCCACTCTCGATGCAGGGTTTGGGAATGCTTGCTATATGGCTACCAGAAACCGGCCACGCGTAGCCGAAATACATATCAGATTCAACGTTGATCTGATCACGACGCACTTCAGCATCAATATGGAATGAAAAATTTCAACTCCTTTCGCATTCATCAATCTAACAGCACCTCAAGTCCTCGAGGAACTTCTTTCTTTTCTGCAAAAGCGGCTTGCCATTTTTCTTCTCTTCCAACTTCCCTACCACACTCGTCAACGAAACTGCTCCTCAACGAGTAGAATGTCAATTCTTATTACCATTCTTCCCATCGAGTCCAGCATTCCCATTCGCCTCAGGCAGCTTCTTCTTCTTCTCGACATGCACATCATCAAAGACCAGTCTATCAAAAAGATCATTCGAGAACCTCGATTTGAGATCCTCCAACGTCCACCCGTGCTTCTCACCAATCCTCGCCAGGATCCTCTTGAAGTCTGGAATCTCGTCCTTGAAATCCTCGTTCTTCAATTTATCGAACCAGGGTTTGCCATCGACCGTGTACTCAACCCTGCCGAAGAAGAAAATGTCCGTGTCAGCAATGACTCAGAGCACCCACGTGGCAAGTACACGTATGTAGTAAGAAGATAGGTAAGGAAGCACTCACCACTCCTTAGCCCAATGCGGTCTCGTCTTAATCCTCTTCCCCTCATGATCCTTATAACTCATCCACACATCTACGACCTCTTGAGCATAAGGCTGCCAAATATCCACAGCATTCTGTAATGTCAGAATCTCAATCGAACAGGTTCCAAGCTTGTTACCAAATTGAGGTGCCAAGATGACATTGCTGCCTCCCATGATTCGCATTTCTAAGGGGAAGCGTTGCGGACATTTGTCGCTGTGCTCGTAGCATTTGAGGATTGCGTCCCACCACGCTTGTTGCACAAGGGTGTAGTCGACTTTGGTTGGGTTGGTGCGTTGGGGGATGAGCTGACATAGGTGAGTGAGTGAGTGAGTGGAGATGAGATGGGGTTGGGTTGGGTGAATGAACGCACTGGCATTTCGACTTCGACATCGCGGACTCTGACGTTCTGGATAGCTCGTTGGAAGTGTAGAGCGTTACTGGGGAGCTGTCAGCTTACGTTGTATCGATACCTTATGGACGGACTTACATCAGGTGTGTCTTGATCGGCTTCGCACCATCGTCGACGGAGGGCATGTTCAACATTGCGAACCGAGCTGTACAGACTCATCAGCACTATGCATTTCCTCGAAACGGGTGGCGGACGAACAAAGCAAGGTCACTGCAGCCTCCGCAATTTTAGTCTGATTCACGACTTCGGTCAGCACCTTGTTGTACTGCAGCACATTCAGCGTGAACTGTTGCAGAAACGACAAGAAGATAGCGAAAGGTCCAGGCCAATCCTCGACATCAGAGTCATCGGTCGTGTTGTTCCAGCAATTGATCCAACACTCGTCTGCATACGGAAACCAGAACCATTCAGAATAATAGTCCTCATTGGCATGTTTCTCAAAATCCTCCTGAGCTTTGCGCTTTTGCTCATCCGTCAAAGGCTTCTTCGGTCGAAGAGCTTTCGGGATCTTGTCCTCTGGAAATCCTGGAGGCGGAGGAATGGTTTGAATTACAGGGAGCTTGTACGGGCGCATCTCAGCATAGGTCATAGCATCGAACTCGATGGTGAGGTGCGTCACAATACCCATCAGGCCGAAAGCACCACCTGCTGCTTTCAGGAAGTCGGAGTCTTGATCTGTGATTTTGCGAAGCTCGCCATTGGCATCAATGTACTCGATAGCTCGGACAAGATCGCTTAAAGTCTGGTGCTTGATGCCTGCGCCATGACAAATCGGACCATTGCTACCACCACAGGTGATCTCTACCATGATGATGTTGAATGGTAAGGTCACCTTGTTGTGCTCCACGCACCAGCGGCGAAGACGCTCGTTTGTTGTAGCACACCCCACCCGCACCAAGCGCTTTCCTCCTGGTCGTGCAGGGCCATCAAGCAGCTCTATGGTTTCTAGATCGTTGGGTCTGCCGTCATGTAATGGCAATGCCGCGATATTAGGAAGCTCCGTGGCGGTATCGAGAGGTAGTAGAGAGATCAGGACCTCGCCTTTGCGACTGAAGATCGGTGACCAAGAGTGTCTGTAACCTGCACACCTCACGGCCAACCCGGCCTGTTTGGCAAAGCGGACAGTCTTCTGTATATCGGCAACATTCTTGGGGACACATGTGTATCTTGGAGTCTCCTGTACAGTTCTGCCCCAGTTCTGGAATTCGAGATCTTGCTGAATTGTCATAAGTTTGTCGTCATCATCGATGTCGAACAAGTTCTTGACTATACGTGATGCACTCTCGAAGAAGTGGTGGATGTGGTGCCGTGTGCCTAGCGATGGTCCGACACAGAAGCCGTGAGAACACTTCTCTGCCGTCTCGCCTTCAACGAAACGCTCAAGCCTATCATTTTCGTCCTCTGTGTAGTATTTCTGCAGGTCTTGGTAGGTATTGTCGACCGGCGAGTCCTTGAACACCTTCAAAAGTCGACGCATGAAGTCAATTCTGCCAGAGTCCCAGCTGTTCACGTCCACATTGTCATCCAGGTAGTCATCGAGCAGCTTGGCCAGACCCGGAACATCTTTATCGCTGAACTCTGGATGCGCCTCGAGGGCTTTGGCCACCTCGCGGATTCGTGAGTCAACATCATAGTCGGGGGCAAGTTGAGTAGCCATAATCGTCAGCGAAAGACTGTCAGCGGTGGTATATTATTACTACGAGACCGGCGTAGTGTGAGAACTCGAACGACAGAGTTCATAGCAAGAGGTGGGAGGCGCGTTCTTATAGCTAAGCGTCAGAAGGTCGCATGCCTTGATCGCTGCGCTGCATTGGCATGCTACTACTGGGGAGCTGACCATGTCGCACGGAGAGCTGCAGCACTTGATGCATCATCAATCCATACTCAGGCGGCCAGTCCAATGCCGTTTCCAGCAGTTCTGATCATCGGATCAGCCGGGATGCTGTCCTACCTACGAGACTCTCAGCCAGCCTTTGAAGAGTACACTTCGTTCGGGGAGGGTGCCGCGAGACATGAGAACATGTTCAGCTGTGGCGAAGACAAGGTGCTGAACAGGCCAGAGAGGCTGAAATCAGGAGGAGAGCAGTATGCGCAAGCATCCGAAATCAGACGGACATTCTACAGGGCCAGGGTTGGAAGGGCCTCTGAACCCATGCTGAGTCAGCAGTACGGAGGAGTGTTGCTGCACTGTTGCATGGTGGCCAGACTGTCGTTGACTCTTTGGCAGCACCGCTCGATCTGGTTCTGGCTATTGCGGTACAGCACTGAGCGCTCACCGCTCATGGCGAGACGTCGTGGTTCTGGCAAGAAAATGTAGTCTTGGCAGATGTTGCCTGAGAATTGAGGCTTGGAATTTGTCCGGTTTGTACCTGCAGAAAATGGTATCCGGAAAGGGAAGCTTTCGAGTGCGAGCAGTGCGGGGTTCGCTTCTGCCTCTGCCTTCTCAATAAGCGTCGAATGTGGTCGATACTCCTTCAGGATAGCGGGCGGTCATGCCATCCAAGACGAACGGCAAGAATGCCACCAAAGAAGCGCCAACGCCAGCCGAGCTTCCGAAGAACTGGCCCGACAAAATCAAGTTCTTGAGTGACCAGAGCTACACAGCACTGGCTGCTGAACTGCGGCCCAAGCTGTCGCGCGCACCCTCGGACAATCAATCATGGATCCAGATCCAGACTCACCTCATCCATCCTGTGACTCCACACGTCCGAATCACCACCATTGATGATGAGAAGCATCCGGCGTGTGGGCAACGTGGACTCTTCGCGGCCGAGAGCCTCATCCCGGATCAATTCATACTGTTGTACCTAGGCAAAGTGCACTCCAACAGTCTGTCAGACACCGATCCACATAGCGATTACGACCTTAGCTTGGACCGCGAAATCGGGTTGAGTGTGGACGCTGCAGAGGAGGGCAATGAAAGTCGTTGTGCAAACGACTATAGAGGCGTTGCTGAAAGGCCGAATGCTGAATTTCGAGATTGCTACATTCAGGTTCCATCCACCAAAAGAGCCGATGGTGTCCGATGGGAGAGGCGCGTAGGCATTTTCGTCCTTTCTGCCGGCAAGGCTGGCAAGCGGAAGGCCGGTATCAAAGCTGGCGAAGAGATATTGCTCAGCTATGGAAAAGGGTCAGTGCGAATCGACGCTTGATGTTTGACATGCACAGACTCTCAATACTAATGCTGGCGTAGCTTCTGGGAGGGTCGAAAGCTGCTTGGTATGTTCAGAAAGGACCACGCGATGCTGAAGATCGCTCAAGCTGCCCTCGAGTGCTGATGGCCCCTGGGAGTGTATTGACAAAGTTGGCAGGTTGAGAGATGAACTTCACACCAGATCGCGCCACTGCGCCAACTGTCTCGGTCTTCGGCCGAGCATAGCGCCGACTGACATTTTTGAAACACATTGTGCGTCTCGTGAAGTAGATGGCGCCGTCTATACTGTAACGAGAGGTTGAATTGGTTTCGCGGCTGGGCGAGCAAAGCGCAGTACTGCATACTCGGAACGTCGAGAGTTCTCAGCGGGCAGATGTATAGCAATTCGGATTGCTGGAAAAATGGATCATTCAGACTACGAGCAGAATAGGTCTGTCTGCAAAATAGGTAATGCTCTTTCACATTCGTCCTGCCCTGCTCAGTCTCCTATAATAAGACTATACACTGTAGTACTGTACTCGACAGAACCCCTTTTCGATCATGACTCCGACGTCACCAAATTATGAATCAAGAATGCAAGTAGTCTGTTTCCAAGAATAATTGGTCCTCGATACTAAACCGAGCCCTAGCTAGCCGCCCGAGCCCTAGCATATCCCGATGCTAGCACTATTATAGAATCGCCCTGTATAGAATTACGTGCTCTTTCTACCTAATATAGGCTATTTCCGTTCTTAGTTAGTATTGTTAATAGGCGCGTCGCGCGTTACCTAGGAAGGAATTCTACTATAGACCTAAAATTCGTATTTCTTCCCCCTTTTATAGTAGATTGCCTAGTAACTATCGAAAATAGCTAAATCTCTATTATACGACGAGTTTCTCGATAATCTTATCGCCGACGTAGTAGTAGAAGGCGCGTAATCGATAGAGATAGTAGTAGAGATAGTAGTAGAAGGCGCTTAATCGATAGAGATAGTAGTAGAAGGCGCGGAAGACGCGCAATCGATAGAGATAGCGGTAGAAGGCGCTTAATTAATAGAGATAGTAGTAGAAGACGTAGAAGACGCGTAATCGATAGAAATAGTAATAGAAGGCGCTTAATCGACGGTAGTAGATATTAAGTCGTAGGAGGAGGTTGAATTAGTCTTAGAGACGCGTATTCGAGGTCGCTATCGCTTACTATCGCTACCTCGCGAGCGTATAGTTCTATCTAATAGAAGATCGGTATCTCCGCGACCTTAGAAGTACCTATTCTCTCTAAGAGAGCGCTACCGTAGACCTATACCGCGAGAGTCGAAGTTTACGTCTTATTAGGCTCTTATCGAATATATCTACGCCTTCGGAAAGTCGACTAGATACGAGTTTAAGTAGTATAAGCCGTAGAAGAATAAGAATAAGATTAAATACCGTTACCTCTTCGTATATAGCTACTATAGTTAACCGGATAAGCGTACCTAGAAGGAAGAGGCTAAGTTAATATAGCGGAAGTCGACTTCGAAGAAGATAGGCTATAAGTTCTATTTCTACGCCGTTACTATCGATCTATTATAGCTAGAGGGTAAGTAGGTAATCCGGCATTCTTTAGAAGATAATTATTATTATTACTATTACAAGAAGGATAATATTGTCGCTCTAGCGATAGTACGGCGGAAGTTAAGAACAGTAGCGTTCCTCGAGGAATTAGAGGGCCTTTAGTAAGCGCGAATACTAACCTCGAAGATTATAGCCTACTTCCGCGACCGTAGTATAATTCTTAAACTAAAGGACATATATAATATTGCCTAGTCTCGCAATATAGATGCTCGTTAATAGATAAACTAGGCTTAGCGAACGGTCGAGTTACTAGATAAGAACGGCATCTTCTACGAGATTAATACTAATCCTTAGAATAGCGCTATTCGTAGTATAATTGCCCTCTACCTACGGTCTCTAGAAGCGTTTAAGAACACGCTATATACACTAATTATAGACACTACTTATTCGACTAATATCTATAACCTCGAGTTAATAGATATCGTTGCCGCTAGCCCTATAAACGATACGATTAAGCTTAGTTGTTACGGCAGCTGCAAGCTAGCCTATAAGGCATACCTTCCGTAGGCGTACGAGGTATACATACCTTCCGATAGGGACCTAGAGAGATAGAGAATACATTAACCTAGCCGACTACCTTGTTCCTTCGTAACAATTAGTAGCACTACTAGGTTGAGAACCTTTCGATTCGTTAAGCGTACCGAATACGCGAGACGAACGATACATAAAAAACAGCCCTCCGAATACACAAAAAACAGCCCTCCGAATACAAGAACTTCCGCATAAAAACAATAATAATAACGAGAACCGCCCTTCCCGCGTACGCCGCGAAACATATACCCCGGAACAAGCAGCCTACGGTACGCCGCCGAGAAAGACGCCTAAATAGCCCTTACCGTACGCGACTATCTCTAAGCCGGATAATAGCAAAATACGGCGGAATAGCGGAATAGCTACAAGAACAAGATACATACTATCCGGCGCTGCTTAAAGCGCTACAATAGCGACGTATAGTGCTATAATAGAGACCTAAAGCGCAGGTACCTAAAGCGCTATAATAGCGAGACTAGCTACTATAGATCGAGTAGGTCGAAGAGTTAGATAAGCACTAGATATATAAACTCGAGCAGCCGTACTAGCTAGACGACCTTAACGACCCGTACGAGCCTAACCGACAGTATAAGCCTAAGCAGCTGTACGGGCCTAAGCAGCCTAACGAGCCGTACGAGCCTAACGAGCCGTACGAGAACGAGCTTAAAGAGCAGTACGAGCTTGAAGAGCCTAGTAAGCCTAACGAGCCGTACGAGCCTAACGAGCTTAACGAGCCGTACGAGCCTAACGAGCTTAACGAGCCGTACGAGCCTAACGAGCTAGATACACTTAAGAACGCGACTAGCGAGCGCGCGACGACTAGACAGCCTAACGGGCCTAAAGACTAGTACGAGCCTAAAGAGCCTAATATACTTAAGAACGCGACTAGCGAGCGCGCGACGACTAGACAGCCTAAAGAGCCTAGATAGCCTAGCGGGCTTGAAGAGCAGTACGAGCCTAAAGGGCCTAGCGAGCCTAACGAGCACTACGAGCCTAATAAACAGTACAACGAGCTTAACGAGCCGTACGGGCCTAACGAGCTTAACGAACCGCACGAGCCTAACGGGCTTTAAGAGCAGTACGAGCTTAACGAGCCGTACGAGCCTAACGAGCCGTACGAGCCTAACGAGCCGTACGAGCCGTACGAGCCTAAGCAGCGATGCTAGCCTAAAGGATACGATGCGACTAAGCCTAAGAGGACGGACAAGCCTCTTCTACGCGCGAGGAAGAAGCGCCTAAATGGCCGTTACCGCCTAAATAGCCGTTAGCGCTATAACGGACAGCGCTTCCGTTACTAAATAACGACTTCCGAGACTACGGATATCGCCGTAGCAGCACGGCCGCGACGACTCGTACGGAGACAACGTACGGAGACAACAAGGACATAGCGATACAATGCTTATATAAGCGACCTGGTATGTCGCCTTTGTTCTGTTTAGACGGGGGTGTTATTACGGCAGCTGTAAGCTAGCCTATAAGGCATACCTTCCGTAGGCGTACGAGGTATATATACCTTCCGATAGGGACCTAGAGAGATAGAGAATACATCAACCTAGCCGACTACCTTGTTCCTTCGTAACATTAGTATTAGCCTTGTCCGTCCGAAGCTAGATTAAGCGGACTTTATAAGGTTGCTACGTTTACTACGGAAGGGCCTCGAACAAGCTAGTTATCTAATGCCTCTTATTATTAGCACTAATCGTAAAGTAGCACTTATACTAGCTATTAATAATATATTTCCGGAGTCTTAGAATATCGTATATAACTAGTATCTATAGTAAGATATATTAACTCGAGTCCGTAAGGAACGTAGCGAATTTAGACAAGTAAAGGGCGATAATAGCGGCTAGATCGACAGCCCTTTAACTAATAAGTTCCTTAAGCTCTTTATATACACTATTCGTAGTTAAACTAAGTAGGAGTTTAACGACAATGTCCGCAAGCTATACAACGTGTATCCTATATTTAAGGCCTATCTCGAGAACAACTAGTAGCGATATAAGACGCGGATTATCTACTACTAGACTAACGAGGTTCTTTACTTCGGCTATAAGACGACTTCGCGAGTTAAGTTAACCTATAGACGTATTAAACAATAGCTTAACTATAGTAGCCGCTACGATATCTTCTTACTCTTTAAGAGCCTGCTTAACTAGTAGCACGAGGGTTACGATCGCCGCCGTATTCGCCTTACTAAGAACCTTAAGAGGTGTAATAAGGCACTAACTAGAGCCTTCTAGTCTAGCGTAGCTCGAGTAATTAGTAATTACTGCTTACTAGAAGTTAAGCTATTATATCTACGTATAGTAGATCTTCTACGTACTATAACTAACGATAACGGCAACGAGATTAAGTACTTAGCCTACTCGTATAGCTGCCCTTACTATATCTATAGTAATTACATAAGCAAGACCTATAGCTATCCTTATAAGTACGATATTATACGGCTTCTCGAGATAGGTAGCTCTCGAGCTGTACTATTGCCGAGTTACTTCTACTCGTACTAGCTAATTAACTTCTAGCGTAAAACGCTCTATCTACGAGAGCCGGAAGTAATCTTCGGCAACTGTAAACCTATAACTAGCGGAGCTACTTTGTATAGTACGAAGCGTATATAAAGTATTACAAACAGCTTAAGAACTAGACGATTTAAATACTACTACCGTTGCTAAGAAGTAGAAGACAATAACCGCTAGAATAGTAGACTTCGTACTAGAGCTAGGCGTATCGCTTACTTAGCTTCGTACGACTATTACTAAGCACTATAAGTGCGTTAAGAGCTAGTATCGTACTTAATAATACCCCTACTAGAAGGCTAACCGTCCGTATAGCTCTACCTACTATCTAAGCGGCTTCGAGTGCTATAATCTACGAGCTAAGTCTTTACTTCTAGTAGTACCGGAGCCTTCTTCTAAGCTAGATTAGCTCCGCCGAGAGCTTAAGGACCTACGTAGACGTAAGCAACAACGATTATAGGTAGAAGAATATAGAGCGAGATAATAAGCTAAATATAGCCGCTAGTAGGCGGCATTCTATAAGTAACAATAACGATAGGCTACTTAGTAATAGTACTAGTAGTCGCTTATATAGCTAGCCAGAAGGCCGCTTTATTACTAGGTACTATAGTAATAGCACTATTAGTTTACTTAGCACTATTAGTTTACTTAGTAATAGTAGTATACTAGTTAGCAACTAAGAGACTAGTATAAGCTAGTATATATAGCCTCGCGTAGTTATAAGGTAGTAGGTCGCAATCCGATTAGACCTAAGTAGATAGCTAACAACCTAACAACTAATAACACCTTTAATTTTGCTATACTACTAATTTGCTAACAAACTTTAGCTTTATAGCTAGCTAGTAGTAGTATTGCAGTAGTTGCCTAGCTAGCGGGGCCTGCATCGACGCGATTATCCGCTTCTACACGCGATTTTGTTAGTAACAGCCGATCTCGTAATCTCGGGATATGCTGGGGCTCGGGCGGCTAGCTGGGGCTCGGTTTAGTATCGAGGATAATTGGTGCTCGTGCACTGGACGTCGGCCGTTGTCTCTGGTCTGGCTTCGAGCTCATCGCCAAGAAGTCGCAATTCACAAACCCTACTTTCCTTGTGTGCCTCAACATTTCTTTTCCATTTCTTCGGGACCATGACGCTCGCTGCTGCTATTCAGCGATCGTGACTCGCTATCCACTCTTTTGCTCCATTCTTCCACGCCATTGACTCCCCACTTGACTCAGTAGCCGCTCGGCTGGCCGAACGTCTATCGAGACCCTGCTGCCGCTCAGACAATGACGGAGTGCATGCCTGGACCTCCTCACAAGTCGGCAACCATAACGTACGGTCTTGAACCTGAAAGAGTGAGTATGGCTCATCCACGTTCACAATCCCCCTCTCCACTTTATCATTATCTGCTCACCTCCACACGGCCGGCGGGCTTGCATTAGCATATCTTTATCTGACCGTACATAGGCGGTGATACTGCAGCCATATCTCGCGCTCACATCGCAACAATCCGCACTGGGCCGCCAAATATCCAAGGCCAATTCTTCGCCTTCACCGTCTACCTCGCCAATGTCATCTGCCACAGCCTCTCCTGGCTCACCGACCATGTCTTCCTCCACAACAAGCTCAACCAGCGGCTCCCCAACTATGGAAGCAAGGCACTTCTCGCCCAATCCACCACCTGCATTGGCATTGCCGTCATCAAGACGAGTCTCGACGAAATCACCAATGGTCGAGCCGATCCCGGAAGATAAGGTGCCCAAACTCCCACGACCTTCGTCACAAGACCAAGTCTTCCATGTCAACCACGAGATCAAGTCAACGCTTACGGATCTCCTCAATTGCCACGCCGTACGACACGATGCAAAGATAAGAATGTGGATACAGTCCAGACTGATGGATGCGGAGCTTGAGCTGAAGCGACAGCGTCGCCGTCGATCCAGCACCGCCCACACCAACCATCACCTTGACCCCGACTCCGAATGAGCCTTGCCGGAAGGTCACTCTCTGATGTTGCTGGCCAACATTTTCCACTCTGTCATTGCTTGATGGCACTTAAGCGTGGAGTCGGAATGGAGTTCTTGTTTTCGATTTTGAACATGATACCCACAGGATTATGCAAATACGACTGTCGATTCACAATGGCTGGCTCTATGATCAACGGCTCGATGCCGCTCGCTGAAGGCTGGAAAGTGAAGCTGTTGATATATGAGACTTTGTATCATAGCTTCAATGCAGCTTAGCTTCTACCTCGGGCATGCGTTCTACTTCTGTTTCAATCCTGTCGTGAACAAAGGCGACTGCAATAATCTGTCCCAGTCGTGGACACTCATACTGTTTTCATTGCTTCCAATCACCGCATCTCTCGCCCTAGGAATCATTTCCGACTCATACGCCTTTATCGCCGCAGCAGTGATTCCGTGCTCGCCAACCTGCTTCGCCAACAATCCCACATCCAAAATAGCATTATTCAATCCCTGGCCTCGATCTGTAACCGCGAACACATGGTCAGCTGCTCCATTTTCATGCGCAAGGAACCTAATGTGATTGAGGACCCTGCATCAAACACCCCCATGTTTCAGACGATGCAGAAAAAAAGCACAAATCACTTACGGAACGTCATAGGATGCGCGGCATCACCTGCTAACGTCACAGTCCCGTTTCGATTGTCCCAAGGTTGCGGTGTCCAACTCGATAATCTGTTGTGCCAGCATTGCGTGTCTTCCGGGATCGACTGCCAGAGAAACTTGATGTCGTCGCTGAAGTCTCCGGCTCGTCGTTTGAGGTCTGCCAGGATGTTGGCGCTGCCTTGGAGGGATGAAGGGGTGTAGTTGGGGTCGGAGGGGATCCAGGACATGATCATCATGAACGTCCAGTCTCCAGGCTCGGAGGGTGCGTGCGCGTCGTGGACTGTATGTATGGACTGATTAGCAAGCACAATGCGAGCGAAGATGATCATCAATGCATGCCATACTTCCTATCCAGTTGAAGTAGCCGAGCGGATGAAATAAGACCATCAAGCGATGTGCTTTCTCCTTGAATTTCAACGCTGCTTCTTTGGGTAATTTGGCCACACAGGCACTTGCGACCAGAGGGGACATATCGAGGGTGGCCTGTTCTGGTCCGCATAGAAAGTCTCTCACGTACGAGTGAGCGCCTTCCGCGCCGATGAGAAGGTTTGCTGTCGCCGTGGTGCCATCTTCGAAAGCTGCTGTTGCCAGCTTGCCGTCCGAGGAGACGTGCTTCAGCTTCTTGCTCCATTGTATGTCAACGCCTTGACTGATGAGCTGGAGGAATCTCTTTCGAGCGAGACGGATGTTGTAGGGTATGGGTAGGGCTCTGAGCAGCTCGCCGGTGTTGCCATTGAATATTGGCATCGTCTCATCTTCACCAGCTTTGTGGTCGTCCACCTGAGCATCTTCGACTTGGTTCGCCAAATGCTCTGGCAAGCATTCTCGCTGAGGAAATGATCAGCCAAGCTCCGACTCGACGACGATGTCGGTGACGGTAAGACTTACGAGAGGCACCTGAGCCCAGTAAATACCAAAGTTCCAGTCTCGAGGTCGAGCATGTAGTGAAGCATCTTGTTCATATACTGTCACGTGTGCACCTCTCTTTATGTCTCGGTCAGCCACGAGGATGTCAGGCGAGAGGAGTGTCTCGTCGTACGGTCTGCAATGCTTGTGCAGCTAATAAGCCAGCCGATCCTGGTGGGCATGGTCAGAATTGCCGCGTTGTTCACCAAATGTAATCAGGCCATGATATGCCGACCTGCACCGATGACCAGAACTCTGGTACTGCTGGACTCGATTTCAGCCATGGCTCGCAGGCTGCTCTAATAATAACGCTGCGCCGAATGAGGCGACTTGATGAGGTTGCGCAGTGTCAAGTGTGCAGCAGGCTGATGTTTTCGCCAACTCCAGCGAGCTCATCCTGGCCTGGACCATCGAGACGACGCACGGCGAATGGACGAGGCGTGCTTGTCGGCGTGGGCGTGGGCGTGGGCGTGCGGGCGAGTCAGATTGCAGCTGTCGGCAAATTAATGTGCCAAGAGGACGTGCGTGAGATCTGCACGCGCACGACGACACGACTTGATACATACGTGTGCGCACGACTTTGCATTTTCCCTTGGTCTTTCCCGTCCCCGTTGGCGTTTGGTGCGATGCCTGGTGAGCGCGAGCGCGAGCGCGAAGAGGCCCGCTCTGCCCTGGTCGAAGCGCCGGCAGCGCCAGCGGAGACGCAAGCGCAAGCTCCAACGCTGCTGACGGACTTCGATCCGGATGCCGATGACGGGGACAGGGACGGGGACGGGGACGGGGACGGGGACGGGGACGGGGACGGGGACGGGGACGGGGACGGGGACAGGGACGGGGACAGCGGATACGATGGAGACTCTTTGGCCGCAACAGACACCACTTCGCTGCTCTCCTCCATCGCTCGCTATCGAGAAGAGGGCGGCCGCACCTACCATTCCTATGGCTCAACGGAGCACTGGGGGCCCAATGACGAGCCAGCCCAAGATCAACAGGATCTGTCACACCAGCTCTGGATCTTGGCGTTGAAAGGCAAGTCCTTCCTCGCCCCCATTGCCAAAGACCCATCGCAGATTCTGGATATTGGCACTGGAACGGGAATATGGGCCATAGAAGTCGCCGATCAGCATCCGCACGCCACTGTCACCGGCACCGATTTGAGCCCCATACAACCTACTTGGCTGCCCCCTAACTGCCATTTCGAGATCGATGACTACAATCTCGAATGGCTCGATGAGGCCAAATTCGACTTCATACATGGCCGGGAGCTGTTGGGCACCTCTCCAGACTGGCCTGCCGTCTACCGACAAGCATTCAATGCACTGAAGCCTGGAGGATGGTATGAGCAGCACGAACCTAGCCTATTTTTCCGTTCAGACGCAGTCGACCTGAAAGACGACCATCCTTTTCCGCAGTGGGGTCAAATGATGCTTGACGCCGGCAATAAAGCGAACATGAGATTTGACATTGGCGATAAGATCAAAGGCTGGATGGAGGAGGCCGGGTTTATCAATGTGACCGAGCATCGAATGCCATGGTTGATTGGCGGCTGGTCGAAAGATGAGCACCAGCAGCAAGTTGGGCAGTGGAATCAGTTGAGGCTGGATCTTGGAGTCGCCGACTTCTGCTCAAGACGATTTACGAATCATATGCGTCTCTCGCCACACGAGATTCAAGTCTTTTGCGCGCGACTGCGATCGGCATTTCGAGATAAGAAGCTCAATGCGTACCAGTGGGCGTAGGTCGTACCATTCCATTCCAGTTCGTGAATTCTGCTAACCTCTTCAGGTATTTCGTATATGGTCAAAAACCAGATTCCAATCCCTAAAATCGACTTGCACACCTGCACCACAGCACTCTTTCCCTACTGCATACGAAAGAGTGTCTTGCGTCTCGCGGCTCTCATTCGGAAAATGAGAGGCTTATCATCCGCAAAATCCGCTCGTTCCTAAATGACTGAGATTGCGTGATTGGAGTTGACCATGCACGATACAGCATACGCCTCTAGGACACTCGGTCGCACTGTGTCTTGAAGTCGGAGGCACTCCGCGAGATCATACCTTAGCCGTAGTTCCGGCGTGAGGAAAGATGATGGGCGCGTCTGATACCCTTTGACTCTACTTGCCAGCTGCTTGACTAAAACGCAGACAGGAGTATATCGCGCTGCAACACAGACCGTTCGATCGCATTCGTGCGACATCGACTGGGGGAGGGACTGCACAGCTTTCGCCCTCTCGCGAAGCCCGAAGTTGAAATGCAGAAAGCTCATTTCCAAGGTGAGCGTTGTGCCTTTAGACACTTGTTTGGGTGAGGACTTACCGCATAGTTGATGCTGACGCTAAAAGACACCGCGGAGAATGAGATATTGCAGAAAGGAGGGTTTCTTCGCTTGCTGTACATGGCAGCCATTGGAGGTTTGATGCTGCTAGCGTTTCATTATTTCACTGACATGCCAGAGCATATCGTCAGGAAGAATCCCGCGCAGCACCGATAAGTGTATGAGGGTCGCGGTCTTGGTACTGCCATCACCGCGACACCGAAAATCGACGACTATAGTAGCCAAGCTGAGATTTTGCTTACGCATATTTCATAGGCAACTCTCAGGGCAAAGCAGGTTCTGAGAGACTTGTTCGGAGATGATCAAGTCATCATCATCATCATCATCACAAGGGCGCTTTTCGTGCCACATAGCACTCGAATATGAACAAGAATCGAATTCCAAACCATGCCATCCTGCCTCCTCATCTCGAGTTGACACCTGCTCCTTCATGAGATCCTTCCCTCTTAGATATCATCTTCTCAGACGCCGCCATCGGCGTGTTAGGATTATAATCATTGATGTCAACGCAGAACGGCTGCTCTCTGCAACAAGCATAAACGCACACTCTCGCTCCACCACAATCCGCATTCGAAGCACAATCCTCATACGTCTCTGGACATCCACCTGCACTCGGACCTCCGGACATGCAGTATCCCTGTGAAGAGTCCTCCGTATCGGGATGACAGAAACATGCTCCTGCGGCCGCTTCGAGACAGTAGCTTTCCGACTCGCATGGAGCTGGATTCTTGCAGTTACGGTTTGGTTTGCAGTTTCCGTTTTGGTCGCAGTATTGAGCGGAAGTACAGCTTGCGGTGATAGTTATGGTTGGAGAGGAATCTGATATGCAGCTGCAGAGGGCCTCTTGAGTCGTTGGAGACATTTTTTGTAGTTTGGTCAAGGCTTGAGCTTGGGGTTTGGAATCATTATCATTACCTTCGTCGTTATTAGTTTCTGGGATTTGAGCGTATCGCCGCTCCTTTCTGGTGGGTGCCGATGTTGGTGTGGCACATGAAGTTACTGTCGTTGTAGTGGCAGGGTACTGGTGGGAGCAGTATGCTTTTGCTGGGGCATAGTCCTTGAGTTGCGATACTGGTACGGCCAAAGGACCAGCAATGCATTTGCTATCTGTTGCGCCTGCATTTGCAGCTGCTGCATAGAGAGTCCAAAGGGCAAGGGAAAGCGCTGAATGTCGTCTCATGGTCGCAAAAAGAGAGTCCAGAAATTTGAGATTTTGCGGCGATCACGTGGTCTCTGGCATGCACATGATTGCCTGCCTGTACAGTCTGATCCTGTCGCTTTCCCTTGCGCACACTCTACCCGCCAGCAGAGTGTATCTCGAATGCAAGACCTGAACCTCCAAGGATGTCGAAACTCTTCTCCCAAGCGATTTCCAAGTCCTTCAAGTCTCTTTCACTCCTCTCAGCACCATAAAAATGAACATTGAATAGCGAACGTGTTGGCCGAAGAGAAGGTGGAAGAGAAGTCTGTCACTCATCAATGTGCCTACTAATAACTGGCCGGCTCCACCGATGTAAAGTAAACTAGCCGTGCCCAGAAGCGTTCGGCGGAAGGAGCAAGTAGTGGTGTCGTAGCTCCTCAACCCATGTGGCGATCATCTGGTAGCTTCCTCGAACTGGTGGATAAACCAAAGGATGGGCCACAAATTACAATACGAAACCTAGGTCAAAGAGGTCAGCTATAGCCTCGGCTGATTCTCTTCTCATTTCAGAAACAATGCGACTAGGCTTCTTGTAGACTGCAAGTATCCCCATGGAGAAAATCCCGACAGCCACACGGCATTATTAGGCCACGCGTTGCATCAGAGGAAGGTTCAAGCTATCTAATACTCCGTAACTCCGCTTCGCATACGATATTTTGCTGCACGAACTATCGAGGCGGCGCCAGGCGAAGTTCCCAATCTGGGAGCAAAGTCTGCGTCGGTGGCGCAAGTCCCTCGACTGTAAGATCTAGCAAAAAGTTGAAGCCCAAGGCCGACTGGTGGATGAACTCTGTACATGAATTGGTGTCTACTCACTCTACTGACATCGGAATGATTACTTTCCTGCCCACACTCAGCCGGGAGGCTGTTTTTTCCGGTGGTTTTCGTCTTCGCAAAGCTGTACAGCGAAGCCGATAGAACGGAAATATGCTCGCTGAAGTTGCGATTCCGGTTCTGTTGCGCGCGAATTCCGACAGTTCTAGCAACCACCAGGACGACCTTTCGTGATGTGCTCCAGCTCTCGAAACTCGCTCTTTTCGGGAAACTCATCCTCGGATTCCGCAGGTTTTATCAAAGCCATTGTAACGACGACGGAGAGATCAGGCATGTTTTCCAAAGGCACTGGTTTGTCGTCGAACTGGACTCAGTCAGCTCACACCTCGCACGTGAAAGTTTTGATTGAGCTGCTTACGGTAGCCACTCTCCATTGCAACTTTTCCTTGAGATACGGTCCTACATCTTGCTCGTCCATGGACTTGAGCTCGCCAGACTTCACCTTGCTGAGCAGCGCGTCAGTCAAGGGCACGGTTCCAGAGACCTTGATGCCTGGTTTGTTGGGATCTGGTCCTTCAGAAAACGATGTGAACGGAGCTTGCACTCCTGCCAGATTCGGGGAAGTGCCCCAAGAGCATGGATCTGAGTCGTCGAAGTCGCCAACAAACAAGTATATGCCATATGATTTTCCGAGTGCATGTTTGTTGGAGATAATATTCGCTGCGTAGTCCCGAAGCTGCCCATCGACCGTCATGCCAGCGGCAGCTTTCAACTCCCCGTGAGTGGCAGCTTGCAATGGATCGCGTTTCCGCTTTGGGCCTCCAGAAGCGGCATTGCCACCATAGAGCCGATTGACGGCCTTTCTGACGTCGTTGATATTCTTCGAGGCGGTTTCGGGATAGTTGTAGCCAAATTGTTCGGTAGAGACTACCATATTGGATGTCCATTTTGTGCCGATAGTGTCCTTCGAGAACGGTTCCAGAGCTGCTTGTGTTAGCTCAAAATCGATACTTTAGCACCCAATAACTTACGCGAGTTTGCATCCTTCAGGTCGCCGATCTGGATCCAGTACGACTGGGATATAGCTCGCATTGGTTCGACCCATGTATTGGGATGCAAGACCTGATAAATGGCAAATAGGCGATCGAGATTAGTATGCAAGAGCCAGAAGATTGCGTCGTAGGCGGAGTAGTCCAGGTAGGTCATATGCCCGCCATTACCAATGATGCCGTGCAATGTATCGTGAATCGCTTCGATGCTGTCTGCGGTGGAGTGGTCCCGAGCCTTCCACGCCTCGTTGGAGAATTGGGTGAAGTTGTCGTAGTGCACTAGCATGCTGTAAATCCGGTTCTGCCATCCAATATGCTGGTTGTCGATTTGCTTCGCTATTATCGCATTTTGGCTGACTGCGTTCTGTGTCAAGCCATTCGGCGCTCGCAGCGTCTCGGGCCAAGAGGAAAACTGTAGAAATTGTAAGCATTAACTCGCGAGCGGACATGGGATGCACTGACTGGATTGTAATACATATCGGCTGCCAACACAGGATGAAAATTGTACGACCTGAGCGGGTTCTTGATCGTGGCAGAACCATTCGGCATGATGACGGGAACAGTTTCTCGTGTAATAATTTCCGGCCAAACACTGCTACCATCCGCCGGTGTAGCAGCAAAGTCCCAATACGGCCAGCGTACGTTCCTCGCAGCTTTAGCGAAACGTTGACGCATCGGTCCAGCCGGGTACTCATTGACAGTCGCAATGATATGATCGAACAGAGTTTGCTCGAAAAGTGCAAGGTATGGGCGATGCCATGGCAGCAGCAAGTTTGACAAGTGAGTGCAGTATCCAGGAGAGTTCAGGCCGTCGCGTGGCGGCACATTGTCCCACATTTCATAAGGTCTGCCATGAATTGCTTTGTGACATTAGCCTCCAAGCATCTCGGCCGGCCGAGCAGAAGAGCGCTCTCAACTTACAGGCTACATCGTAGTAGGATAGGTGCTGCTTCTGAGGCTCTGACATCCATCTCGTCAGGCCAAGGAGCAAAAGATTGAACTCGTCGGGCCTGTTCGCAAGGTCTCTGATTTCTCGTCTGGGTGCAATGCCTGCGTTCCGAATGCCCGTCACTGCCGTTGAACTGCGTCCGTTTTGTCTCTTTTGCTTCAGATGTTGGTGGTGTTGATGGTGATGGTGATGTTGCAAGAAATCTTCAGCACGTGCACCGATGATTTCATTGATCTGCTGGCCGCCTAGCGAAGGCGCTTGTGATGCCAGGACGATGCAGATAGACCAGACGAAGACGATGGCTGGGTGGAAGAGCCGTGTCTGCATTTTCGCCGTGTTCACGGTCCATACGGTCTGTCCCTCCTGCCGCCCCGGATGGGCTCACGGGCTGAACAACGGTCGTCGAGGCAGCAGGGAGTGCATGAAACAAAGGATTTCAAAAGAGTGGTACAGGCTTGGTAGGTAGGAAGCACGAGATGCCGATGGACAATCAAGGCTGGAGTAGGGCCTCGTGGCAGGGAAGAAATGAAAGTAGAGGATCAATATCAGGCGGGTGAAGTAGGCAAGCGCAGAGAGATGAGCGAGGCGGGAATCAAAAGACTAAATGCGTGCCCAAGCTTTCATCATCATCATACTAGCAAACTGTAGTCGGAAGGGCTCAAGACACCCATGCAGCTGCGGGCCATTGAAGGGCTGGCAGGGGAATGGAAGCTTTGCAGGAGCAGAAATCGGCCGTTCGTAGCATGGAGGGGAGGGAATACTGGAACCTGACGATTCGCGTTGGGATTGCTGTGAGCATCGGCATGCCGTGGAGCTGGCACAACATGCTCTTGTGTGTGTGCGTGCGTGTGTGCGTGTGTGCGTGTGTGCGTGTGTGCGTGTGTGCGTGTGTGTGTGTGTGTGTGTGTGTGTGTGTGTGTGCGTGCATGTGTGCGTGTGTGTCTCAGGCAGTACGGAATGGCCGAGGACTCAGCACTCGTGAAGCATGTGTTGCGCTGGGCGAAGAGCTCTTGTTGAAATTGGATGTTGGAGGGCATCGGCATCGGCATGGGTATGGCATGGCATGGTATGGCATGGCATGGCATGGCATGTTATGCAAGCTACAACACGGCGAAGGTTATTAGGAAAATAGATTGTAGAAGGAAGAGAAGAGAACCAACACTTGTTAACGGCACCGACAGGGTTCACGACAAGCTAGGCCCAAAAGAGCTAAGCGATTGTCAGGCACGATCTGCGAACCTGTCACTCCCTTGCGCAACTTCACTCCATCTTCTGCTGGACATTGCCGCTTACACCCTCTGCTTGATCGCAGTGGTCTCACAGCACCTCATGTGCCACCCAAACGCGCATTCTCGCTGCCGGAAGAAGCCAACAGCAGCAACGAGCTTGGCGGTTGGCGGTTGGCGGTTGGCGGCGAAGCATATGGATCATGCATCCCAGCTTCTTTAATTTGCTGTCGTCAGCCTGTTGTCCAGGACTGCCTGCTGAGGGTCGGGGTGTATCACGACATACATTAATTAGGCATCACAAGAGCCTCCGTTGCTTCTAGGCCCGTGGCCAATAATGCACAATATGTATGTACATACATAGATGGAGGGTACGGCATTCATCATCGAAAGTCACTACTCCAAGCTCACCTCCGCGCATCAAACATCTAGGCGCCCGATGTCTGAGACTTCTGCGGCATGCGCAAGAATGGGCTGATGAGGAGGTAAGGAGTAACAGCCCTACATGACGCACCTGGAGAGTCAGGACCGCAGGAGATTGTCCACTTGAGATCAGATGTAATCATATACCAAGATCCTACCGTACTTCCTGTAGAAACGAAGAGAGAACCCTCGAGACGTCGACTGGCCGTTCTTCGCGATCTGTAGACTATCACAAGCATTGTGACTGCGCCAGCGTTGCTTCAGCCTTCAGCCGAAAGAATCGCGAATGAAAGCGATGACTTCCTTCAAGGTATCCCGGATCGCGCATCTGCGTAATGACCTTGCTTGAGCCACGATGCCCGGGCATCCCACCACAGGATTGGATCCCACAACCAAGAGAAAAGGCGGAGTGGCAAACGAGCTCAATTTGCAACCGCTGAAGTACGTGCACACTATACGAAGGTCTATGGGATCTGTCTACTCGCCTCGTCTGCACGCTATACACATCAAGGCCCCACGACGCTTGTCCATCCTCCTGACTAAATGTTCTTCAAGAAGCCTCTCCTGCTCTGCAGTTCTACTTTCGTGAGTCTAACGCGAGCTACTAGGACTTGACTTGAGCCCATATTGTCATCCTGGAACATTAATCCTGACCGGTTGCTTCGGCTTTCGACAGTGCCACGGCCCACAAGCAATTATCAATCCCTGCCCTCTTCCAAAGGATCTCAGCAGCGCTACTGACTTGCTGTCTTCCAATTTGGCCATTTGCGAAGAACAAAGGTATACAGGGCCACTGTGTTTGCTCAATGTTCGAAGCAGAGACCATTATATGACTGCACCTCGGGTGTGCTGGATCAACAACACCTACCGGCGATCATTCGTGTTGTCTCAGTCTCGCATGCGCCTGCAGTGTGCAGTTCAGTTAGCTGCTTTGCTTTGGGTTCGACCTTCAAGTTGCAGCAACTCCAGACAAGAGATTGTAGCTCGAGCCGAGGCCGAGCATTCACGTTGTCGGCAGTCATTTGGAGGTTTGCACTCATTCCTACATGTCCACCCGATGTCAGATTCAAAAAGTGGACACGCTATGGGAAATTAATGCGTGTCGTTTTATTATTAGAATAGATCGTGCTGGAGCGGTACCGGCTAAAGAATCATTGATGCCTACCAAGACCATGCCGCGACGGTGTCCATCCCCACAGTCCATCCATCTGGAAGTGGCATCCTACTCCTGCAGACTTGATGATGGAGGATAGCATTCAACATTGCTGACTGGACATGGCTTCCTGGTAAGAAGCGACAACACGGCACGGAGAGGCACAAATGCTGGATCGAAGCTCTCCCGGCATACGAAGCCATGGAGTAAGCATTACTCGATCGAAACAGCAGAGGTCGCTATTGAGTTTTCATGACTCGGAGCCTGGACGCCATTCTCTCCATCCGTTGAGAGAGGCCCGGATGAGCATCAGACATGCCCATTATTATTCTTCCGCTGCTCGCAGGATAGTACGCTTGCTTGGGATGGAGTCGGCCACGATCGTCCCCATTCTCAGGCGCTCCAAACCGCCGGAAATGATCGGATGTTTCTTTCAGGTGCACGACCACGTGACTTGTCGAGATGCGCCGCGGCCAAGTCCTAGCGCGAAAGGTGCTCCCAACATCTCATGATCTCAAGATAAACGCTTCCCTTCGCGGCCAGAGTCCTGATAAGGCCTTCGACCCGACGACCGCACCTATCGCAAGTTACGATCGAGTAATATTATAGCAGCTAGAGCAGGCCCTTCAGAACCCTTCCGAGAACCATTGTTCTATTCACGCGCCGTCCCGGACCTGGAGTTGCGCGACTGGGAAGATGCCGTCTCATATGCCTCTTATCAGTGGCAGCATACCCCTCCGTGATTCTCTCATAAGACCTCACACAGGCATTCAGCGCAAGTGCACGCATTTCCATATCCCTTTCTCTTCTCTCTAAATTGCCCACATACATCACAAGGCTTGCATGCTTTCACAGCGGTCCCTGTGCTGCAAAGCCCAACGAACAATCAGACCTGGAATACATACCTGAAACGCAGCCGATCATGGCACCATTTGCAACGGGAACAGATACACCACACAACGTGGAGGGCTCATCTGCAGAAGCCTCGCCAATCCTTGCCGGCATCGATGCCTCACAAATCTCGGTCGTAGCATCGTCAAGAGCTGTGGTGGGAGACAGACTGTCGGCCGCGACAATTGTGATAGCCACGAACACTGGCAAGATCATATCAATATTTCACTCGGTCTTGCCCGAGGACTTGTTCCCACCTGGAACGCCATATGCAGATCACAGCCCGCATGTGCTACTGCCTGGCCTTGTCGACGCCCATGTGCACTTGAACGAGCCAGGCCGCACAGAATGGGAAGGCTTCTACACCGGGACGCGCGCTGCTGCTTTTGGAGGCGTCACTACCGTGGTTGACATGCCATTGAATGCAATCCCACCAACAACAACTATCGATGGACTCAAGGAGAAGGTCGCCGCAGCTCAAGGCAAATGCTGGGTGGATGTGGGATTCTACGGTGGCATTGTACCAGGCAATACTAAAGAGCTGAAGCCGCTCGTGAAGGCTGGCGTTCGAGGCTTCAAAGCGTTTCTCATTGACAGTGGCGTCGAAGAGTTTCCTGCTGTCTCGGCAGACGATATTTCCCAGGCTTTCGAAGAGCTTGCAGATGAGCCCACAACAGTCATGTTTCATGCCGAAATGATACCCCCCGTCACAGCCTCCGTCGGTGATAATGTGCAATGGTCGCTGCCACCACTCCAGCCAACCGGGCCATTGAACAAATACCAGACGTTTCTTGATTCAAGGCCATCATCGTTCGAAACATACGCGATCCTCGAGATTCTCAGCCTCGCACATTTGGCACCTCAATTACCGCTTCACATTGTTCATTTATCAGCATTTGAAGCAATACCGATGCTTAGAGAGGCGCGCGCAAAGGGAATTAATATCACCGCAGAGACTTGTTTCCACTACCTGAGTCTGGCCGCGGAAAAGATTCAAGACGGCGATACAAGACACAAGTGCTGCCCGCCAATTAGATCGGAGGCAAACCAGGACGGCTTGTGGAAAGAAATGCTAGACGTTGACCACAGTGTGATCAAGACCGTCGTCTCCGATCACTCACCCTGTACACCAAATCTTAAACTTCTGCCGCCCCATGTGCCTGGAGGCGAAAAGCCAAAAACCGCTAGCTGCTGCTCAAACACCGGTACGGGCGACTTCTTCAACGCGTGGGGTGGAATCAGCTCCGTCGGACTTGGACTGAGCATCCTATGGACAGAGGCAATGCGCAGAAGCTTAGGTATTGACGAGACAATACTCAATATCGTCAACTGGTGTTGCGTGAACACAGCCAAGCAGGTTGGCCTTGAGCACCGAAAAGGTGAGCTCAAGGTTGGTATGGACGGTGATATCTGTGTTTTCGACGATCGAAGCACTTTCGAAGTGCAACCAAACACCATGCTATTCCGTAACAAGTGCTCTCCGTACGAAGGAAAGACCTTGACTGGATTCGCGAAAGCCACATATCTGCGTGGTCGTCGAATTCATACCCGGGACGGCGGGTTCAAGAAGAGCGCAAAACCACCCGGTGAACTTTTGCTCGAGCCACGAAAGCGTGTATAGAACTCAAGCGCATCAGTATCGCTCTGGCACGATGACATTCCTCACATGGGTCACTGGTCGTGGAGGAATTCCGCAGATAGAAGCGAGGCGCCGTAGAGAGCCAAAGGAGTTAAACCGAGAGGCGTTAAAAAAGATTCACTCACTGGAATTCATTAATCTCCGCGTGTAGCGAGCGAATACTATTCGACACTTGCGCCGAACATGAGCGCTATCGAACATGACTTCAATAAGGTCCAAGGTCTTCACACAGACTTTTCTACCAACCAGGTAAGGAAGCTGCTTAGCTGGTGAAGCATCCATTAGAATGTCATACGCCGACCGAACGCTCCACCAACCCCTGCCAGAGTCAACAGAACACAACTTTGATTGTTTAAACATCGTGTGACATAGAATCATACGTTCGATCTTGCCTGAATCTCCTCATGAGGGCTCCTAAGGACCTTGAACGAAGACCTTAGCAAGTCGTGGCCCCAACACCCCGAGTGGCGCGATATCAATTCATCCAACGTTCAACATACAAATTTCGCGAAGCGTTGAGGTCGCACCTGAATGGACAGTGCCGCTTCCGTCGATGACTTCGTGAAAGAAAACGGGGTTGACAAAGCGGAAGGCAACAGGACTTGGGCTTACGAATACCAATACTTCCGCGAGGCTCCGCTTACTCTGAAAGAAGACCGATGACCTCCAAGCCCCAACACCTTCGACACCTTTCGAAACCGACGGTTCCGTGTTCTAAACAATGATGGAATATGATCAGGAACGCGAATCTTTTGGTTACGACCCCGAATCTCGCCTTGCGTTGGCGAGTATCGTCTTGTCTCATCCCAACAGAAACGGCAACAATGATGATGCGCTGTAGGACCTGGATTGCATATATAAGTGCAGCCCAGACGAGCTCACAAACCCGATGTCTTTACTCCTCAGCAAGCATCTCCGGATACAAATCAATTCCGTCGAAGACCTTTCACCGCCGAGCACCACCTTAGCAACATGAACGCGTTCACACCCGCACCAAACTACATGATGAACGAAAGCCGAACAAACAGTGTATCTAGCTCCGGCTCCTCTCTCAAGGAGCGAGCAAGCCAAACGCTCCACACTCTCAGCGAGCACAACAACAGAATTCTGCGCAAGCTGGGTCTGCAGCCCGACAGACCAAACCGTGTATCTTCGGCCGTTGAGTACGGAACTCCGGTGACATTGGGCTACTGAGAGCGAGGACAGGGACACAACATGTCGTTGGATGGACGCTGTGGTGTAGAGAGTAAAGCTCTTCAGGTAGACGAGAGAGCAGCATTTCGAGATTAGAATGCATGGAATGGGAAGAACAAAACAAGCATATTTCTGCCAGGTGATCGGCATCTCGCGACTTGGTTTTCAATGCATAACTCGTGTCTCTCACGCAGGGCCAGTGTACATACGTGATCGCATTTGCCGGTTTCGGTGTTCATGACAGTTGGATGATTGATCTCGTGCTTACTGTACCTCCGGTACCATTGTGCCTACGCCTGTCCTTGAGAGTTGCGGTATGCCGATTTTGAACATCTGATGATACAATGCTGCATCTTCCTGATAAGAGAGGGGGGGGGGGGCAGGTAGGGTCGAATTCTTGGCAGATGGCTGGCTGGTGGGTCTTCTCCCTTCATCCATTAGGGATGACCACAACAGCAGAATAATACGTGTTGGTTGTCTAAGAGGTTTAGTGTGCAGTAGGTTGACAGGGTTGTAGTCGATTGCTTAGATTTCCGGATATACTCGGTAGTAGTAGAGTCGATAATTAGATCGAGAAATAGCCGTTTTTGCTAGCTAAATCGGGTATGCCGTAGATACGTTAGTCGCTAACTTTATATCGTAGTATGTTAAAGAAAATTCAGCTATATAGGCATATATAAGGTATTATTAAAGGTATGTAGGTAGGCCAATTTCTACGCTCTTTCTAACTATTATAACTGCTATTATAATAGCCTATCTTATCCCTAGTTTCTTCGATGTTTCTATACGCTCTTAGCTCTTTAATCTACCTAAAGAAGGGGTATATTTTAATGCCGACGAGTAGCAGAAGGTCTACCTATTTACGTCTAATTTTTAGGAAGAATACAAGTAGCCTCGGTATAAGGATAGACTCGCTTAGCGGACGATTTGCTATTATCGTTGTCGGCGTAATAAGGCTCGTTAGCGTAAGGTACCGGATAGTATTCGGAAGGTCGAATACTATAAGGAAGCGTATAACGCTTCCTTAAAAGGAAGCGTATAACGCTTCCTTAAAAGGAAGCGTATAACGCTTCCTTAGTAGTAATTGCTATATATCGCTATAGAAAGGACGCTAAACCGTATAGATACAAGATCGCCGGTTCTTTAGCTAGTCTAGGTGCTAATAGTAATAAGCTGTACTACTATTCGATGGATTATATAGTAAGCCGTAGTTATTATTATAAAGGTTAAGGTTAGAAGCTAATAGTTAGTAGGACGTTAGGAGTGCTAGTAATAGCTATAAGGTCGTTCTTAAGTACTTAATAGAGCAGTATAACTATAATACTGCCTGTGTGTAGTATTAGGTAAAGGAGGGACCTAATGCCGATCGCTTTGCTATTATTAGAGCCTATCGTATAAAGTAGGGTATTATAAAGTAGTCGAAGGCTAGTAAGAAGAATGCGAAGAAGGTAACTCTTACTAAGAAGGGGAACGTTAACCTCTAACTCGATAACCTAAACAAGCACCTAGCACCTCTTACTAATCTAGTATACGGCGCTTATATATATTATAAGGCTATCTCGGTCGTAATTAAAGGGCGTATCTATAAGGGGATTGTATAGTAGGCGGATTAGCAACGAGAGTTATTAAATAGTAGACTTAGTAGTAATATAAGTTCTCTCTCTCGGTGCCTGCTTACGTAATCTCCGGCTTTATATAAAGCTAGGCCTTAGCAAGCAATAACTAATATAGGATTAGTTATTTCTCTTCGACGTAACGTATAAGACAACTAATACCGACTAGTATCTCTTTATAGTATATATATATAATAGATTTAACTCCTAGTTGCTAGTAGGATATATATTGCTATAGTTATAACGAGCGAGGTTATAGCAAGCTGCTTTCCGAGTCCTAAAGTAGTAGTATCTAAATTAGAAGCCTAAATTGGCTATAACTAACGACTCGGCTTAAGAATAGTCCGCTATTCGCCTATCCTTCGACGGAGAGGAAATACGATTATATCTCTACTAAAGATACACTAAAGAGACCTTCCTATAATACTTCCCCGAATTTCGATACCCTCTTATTTAGAGACGCTTTAAATACGCTATTTACTACGATAGAAGCGAGTTAGAAGTTAAGGAAGATATTACTACGATAGAGGCCGAATTGCGGCTTCTTAATAAGCTAAACGAGGCTTAGTATTTACGAAAGAATTAGGGTTTAGATAAGTTATAGAAATAGGCTATTTAGGCTCGTTTAAATAACCTAGTTCTTATACAAATACGTACGACGTCGCCGCTAGAAGGATACTATAATACTATTAAGTACGATAATAAGAAGAAGCTCGTCTAGTATTCGATATATAGCACTATTACTAAGTTATTAACAATCGACGCTCGACAACTATATAAGGCCGACCTTTAAAGCTATAGACTTAGCAAGCGTATACAATATTAGAAGGTTAAAGAACTAGCCTTCTTCGAGCATTTAATACCTCCTACTATATAGGACTTCGTTAGGAAACAACTCGCTATTACGGAAGAATATAAGGCTAAGGTATTGCTACTATACGAAGGCCTTATATTGTATCGTAACGGATAAGACGGATAATAACAACCTCCTTACTACAATTGCCTACTATAGTTTTAGTAGTATTTGCTATACTACTATATACTAAGATACTACCTGTTTATAACGCCGCTTACTCTATAACAATAATAGATCTACGTTAGTTTCTACTACGGCTTTAATAGTATAGAGATTAGTTAGTATTAGCGGTAGCGAGACAGTACTACCTTATTTCTCGAGGGCTTCGAGGACAATTAAAACTATACTACTAGCGACCCCTATCTTCGAGACCTTCGCGCTTACTTTAATAAAGGTATAGAAGGCCTCTTATAGCACTTCTACGCGGTCCGTAACGATAAGTCAATTTACGATAGTACGCTAAAGGATAAGTTTATAAGAGGCTTCTTACGTAAGGTTAAGGATACGCTTACTTAACTAGCTAACTTCTCGCTAGACGACTTCCTTCGAAAAGGTACGCCTAAGGTTCAATTAACTAGTAACCGATAGCGATAGCGATAGTAGATATAACTTCTACCTAAACCTATTACTCTAACTCGCTAATTGCCTCGGTATCCGACCCTTCCGCTACTATTACTAGTACCGCTAGTAGCGACTAAATATAGGCCTCGAGCGTTTAATCTTCCGCCGCTTAATAAGATAGTCTTATTACTAATCCGACCTTTATAAGTTATCGACCTTCTTACGCCGAGTCTACTACCTTTTAGGCCCTTACCTTCGAAGGCGCGGCTACCGCTACCGCTACCGTAGTAGCCGCGCGAGTCGCTTTTGTCTATATAGTCGGCTTAGCCGCTCGATTTAGATACTATTAAAGAAATAGCTAAGCTTATAGACCTTACTTTACTAGCGGCGCTAGTAAGAGAGGCTTTACTATTAAAATAAGACCTAGAAGTAGTAGAAGACTTCCTTTAGTTAGATAATAATAATGCGATACGAGAAGTAGTAGGCAAGAGGCGGACTTCTAATAAATATAATAGCAATAAGCGTAAGAGATTAGTAGCGATAATGCTATCTACTATTAAGAGGCCGAATAAGAGGAAGAATTAGATAGGTAATAGCAGCGATAGCGATAATACCTTAGAAGCTATAATAGCCTAATTAGGTAAGCCGAGCTAATATACGAAAACCGAGCATTC